CTGGGTTCCTGAGCACGCTGCCCCTTGGAAGTGTGAAATCCAGATGTTAAACTCCCAGGTGGATGTGACTTGGGATTGAAGTGTGTTGTTACCAGACCAGGCTGGGCCAGTGTACCCAGGTGTTATATGATATGGCTGCTCAGCCCTCTGGGACTTCAGAAGACCAGCTCCCAGGATGTCTGTAACTGAGAGATGAGAAGGAAGGCGGGATCCTATGGCTCTGCCAGTTACCATGGGACAGGTCTTCCCACATGCTGAAGGCAGTGGGAGCCGGCCCTTGATGGCACTGCAGTCTGGATCCCACTGCATGGGTCCAGTTCCCTAAGTAGAAGAGAGTGAGAGGCAGGCTGGGGGAAGAGCCCTTCTCTGCTGTGGCCTTTGTAGCTTTTGAACGGGACCAGCAACGGTGGAATCGGCATCTTTGCTGCCCTTTGAGTGGAGAGATACTGAGCCCCACAGTGGGCCTTGCAAGTAGATGTAGTTTCCTGGACACTCAGCCCAAGCTTTATTGGTAATCTGTGTCCCATTGCTGCTCACTGGGGAGGGCTGGAATCCGGTGACATGCCCTGGCCATCAGGAACCTCCAGCTACCCCAGTGTCCCTGCAGACACCCGAGGTAGCACAGGCAGGCTGACATCCACCTGAGTCCCTGATCCTGGCCTTAGGCTCATGCTGGTGGCAGCTGATTTAGTCTGAAGAAACAGCTCAGGAAGTCGCGGCTAGTCCTTTCCCAGCCTCCTGTGTATCTATCTGAGCAAGGGCAGTGCGAGCAGGGACCCACTGCTGCCCCCACTGGCAGAGTCCGGGTCCCCAGGCCCTTTCCACTTGGTCTGCATATCTCTGAGGGTACCTACAGAATGGAGAGGCTCTCCAGGCTTTGCTGGCATGACCACTGATGGAGAGAGCCCCCTGGACCTACCCTGCACCAGGCCTGGGTGTAGGGGTACCCCCAACACAGTTTCATGCTCAGTCCAGTCCAGTCCTTTGGGACCAGCTCCTGCCATTGTTCCCATCATCCAGATGAGGCCCAGCAAAGGAGTGTTGTTTATCCTAAGTCACACTACCTGTGAGACTCATGCCTGTACAGCTGCCCATGGCCTCTGGTTCCCAGAATTGCAGAGCCCCAGGACCGCAGATGGGAGCGAGCGAAGGGGGCCCCTCCTGTGTAAGTGGGCCTCCCGTTTCCCTCTGGCTGCCCCTCCTCCATCCCACCCAGTGCCCTCCCATGACAGCCTGCAGCTGGCAGGGCTGGTGCCACCCACGCCCCTCCTGTCCCCTGCTTGGTGGCTCCTCTTGGTTGCCACCCCAACCCCTTGCTGTGAGTCACCTCTGCCAGGGAGCAGGTTGGGGGGGGGGGCATGAGGGTAGAGGATTGGGGGAGGGGAAGGTACACGAAGTGGGCAGAGACGCTCTACCTCTTTATCTCTGAGGAGAGGAAATGCGAGTCGCTTGCAGAGATTGACTGCAAATGTCACTTCAGCTTGTCCTTTGGGCCTGCTGCTCCGGCTTCCAGGTGCTGAGTCCCTGGAGCCACACCCTGAGCGTCTTTGGGATCAAAGGTGGGCCTGTCCCTCCTGTCCCCAGCCACCAGCTTGCTACTGCTGCCTGTCGGGCATTTGGGGAATTAAACAGGTTACCACCTGTGATGCTCACAGATGGTGCCTGTCATGTGGCAGGTGCTTGGGAAGGCCGCGTCACATGCTGTGGCCTGGCTGCCAGCACCTGGGGGCAGGCCCTGCCTCTGTCATCTTTAAGGTGATGGACACTAGCTCTGTCACCTGTAGAGTGACAGCATAGAATAGTTCCGTCCACTCCCTGAACCCTGAGAGAGTCACATCTCCTCCAAAAAGCTGTAGAAGAAATAGTCCCTGGATCTGAAAGGCAGCTTGAGCCTTTGGTCATATCCTGTCCTACCCAAAGACAGTTCAAGTGGTTTGCATTGGTCCAGTTTCTGCGAGTGGGTGATACAGACTGTCTGGGGGCTTATGGTGGTTTTCCTGGGGCTATAGGGTGAGGGAGGAGGGAAGCCTTGTCACTGGGTCCTCGGCTGCTTTGCTTGGGCCTCTGTAGCAGCATTCACAGAGGACAGATTCTTCAGTGTGTGGAAGCTGCAGAGGATGCAGGCCAAGGCTTTGTCACAGCCCCCGAGCATGGAGAAGAGGCCTTGACTTTGAGGCTGAACTGGGTCACCTGCTCTGCTGGTGCGGGGGAGGAGGGGTGCATCCTGTGTGGGGGAGGGGCTGCTCACCCTGCCATGAGTCACTCAGCATGGGTGTGCAGGCTCTGTTGGAGCCAATTCTCTTTCCAGGTCCCTCGATGGCCTGGGCCTCGCTGGTTGCCCAGCACTGGGCCCCAGACGTGCTGCTGAGCTCGGGGACACCTGAGGTTTGTGTCTCATAGAGTAGACAATCTAGCAAGTCAGGCCTGCACGCTGAGCTCATGGCAGAATCACCTAGAAAAGCTTCCAGGCCTCGGCATTCCCGAGGGTGGCATCTCGGGACATTGCACTATCATTAGAATTCAGGCAGGCGGGTGGATAATTGCAGGCTCCGCTTTAGTAAAAAATTTGAGTAAAACTGTGTTGGATATTTTTTGTTTTGTTATTTTCTGATAAGTACTTTTATGGGAGTGTGGATGAATGCTGTATTCTATCCGAGGGATGTTCCTCTGGCAGGAGGAATAAATAGTGCATCTTTCGCCTGAGTTTCCCTAACCAGCCCCTTAGCAGGTGTGTAGTGCGTGTGTGCATGCATATGTGTGCCTCTGCCAAAGTAAATGAGCCAGCTTATACACAGCCCCCTGTGTGCCCTTTTCTTGTTGGGGGTGCAAATTCTCATCTCATGTTTGAGCTCTTAACAGGGGATGAGACTCAGAAGCTCCATCTCTGGGCTTCCCATTAGAGAGAGAGAGAGAGATGGGCTGCTCCTCGTCACCCCCACCCACCCCTCCTCTTCACTTGGCATGCTACAGGGGACTTGAGTACATTTTGTTTTTTCGTTTTTTGTTTTGGTTTTTGGTTTTTCAAGACAGGGTTTCTCCGTGTAGCTTTGGAGCCTGTCCTGGAACTCACTCTGTAGCCCAGGCTGGCCTCGAACTCACAGAGATCCGCCTGGCTCTGCCTCTCGAGTGCTAGGATTAAAGGCGTGTGCCACCACTGCCCGGCTTGAGTACATTTTGTAAGAGGGGCCCAGTGCTTGCTGGGGTGGATGATCTCCTTGAAGGAGTGGGGAGGCCAGGGCTTCAGGTGACAGTGGGGTGAGGCTTGAGTCTGGGGAGGAAGGAAAGCCTCCCAGGTGTGTTCCAAGGGCATGCCCGTTGTAGGCAGAGCTGCCCTGAATAAAGGTGCAAGTGTGTTTCCACTGTGGTCCACATCCTAGACCACAGGGCACCCACCTCAGGCATGCATCCGACCACAGAGAAGACTCAGCCAGGCCTACTTCCTGAAGGTGGACAGCTGTCCCCAGCACTGGGGACAGGAGACCCAAACACTAGCTTGCACACCTCCTAAACAGCCTTTTTTTAAAAAATGGGGGCCTGCATTCTTCCTTTTCTGTTGGTCCTAGGGAGTTCCCATAGTCAGGAAGGCACCCCTCTGAGGTTTGGATTGGCACATTCATTATGGGCTTGCCGTTCTGGGAGGGGCTCAGCACTCAGCAAGAGGTAGGGGTTTGAAATCCCGGCTCCGCCCCCTCCCTGGTCCACCCCCTCCCAGTCTTGGCAGGGAGGCAGCCGCTGTCCTTAGTACTAGTGCTGAAAAGCCTGCCTTCCCCCACCCACTCTCTCATTCTCTCTCTCTCTCTCTCTCTCTCTCTCTCTCTCTCTCTCTCTCTCTCTCTCTCTCTCTCTCTCTCACACACACACACACACACACACACACACACACACACACACACACGCACACAAGCGTTCATGCACAGCAGCAGCACTAGTTGGCAGGATAGGCTGTATGTGAGCTGGAGTGAGAGCTTCAAGCTTTTCCTTCCTGCCCGGCATTCCACTCTGGCTGTGGCTGTGGCTGTGGCTGTGGCTGTGGCTGTGGCCAGGTGTAGCCCTCCCCTCTGGACAGGGCCCTTTTGGGGTTTTGCTATTGCTATCTCAATCAGCTTTTTTTTTTTTTTTAAGATTTCATTTTATTTTTATCTTATGCGTGTGAGTGTTTTACTTGCATATATGTCTGTGAACATGCATTTGTGGTGCCCTCGGAGGACAGAAGAGGGTGTGGGGTCTCCTGTTACTGGAATTATAGACTTGTGAGCCACCATGTGGATGCTGGGAATCGAACCCAGGTCCTCTGGAAGAGCAGCCAGGGCTCTTAACCATTGAGCCATCACTGCAGCCCCTCCCTGATCAGCTTTTAAAAGCTTCCTGGCACCTTTGTTTGGAATGTAAAACTCTGGCTAGTAAGTTGCTCCATCTTGGGGGCCTTAGGGATGGACTGACGGGGAACAGTCAGGAATGCTGGCCCAGCCAGAGGAGATGAGTATTCGGCAAGCGAGCTACCTATCAGCCCTTCTGAGAACCGAGGGTGCTATGTCTGGTGGCCGCTTGTCTCAGAGCCAGATCTGTGCCTGGCGAGGCAAGGAAAAACAGTGGGCTCTGGCCTCTGAGGACACATGCTTGCTGCCACCCGGCAGCCACGTTGTTCTACAGACCCCACAACTAGCTCGAAGTGGAGTTAGAACAGTAAGTGAAGAGTTAAGTCAGCGTGCCACTAAAAGTCTGTTCTTGCATTGTTGGGAGCCCGGAGTTACACTACTCACTGCTTCCTATGTTTGTCTCTGTCCCAGGTAACAGTTCTTTATGGCCCTAGGTACCCACACCCTTCCTTTCCCTTGCAGCCAGCCAGATGGGTGCCCCAGATGCCAGGCAATGGGTGGACTCCTTCATCAAATCCCCTGGGTAGCTTCTTGTTTGGTGGCTGCCACACACACTTGAGGACCTAGCCATGAGGCCCCAGCTGCTGAGACATGAGGTGATACCTTGTCCTTTTCTGTTGCCAGATCACCAGAAACTGGAGAGAGAGGCTCGGATCTGTCGCCTGCTGAAGCATTCCAACATTGGTGAGAACCCAGAGCGGGGTAGAGTGGGTGGTTTGAAGAATGCCTACGGAGATATTTAGAACCCAGAACCTGGGGCCAGTGACCTGTCCAAGCCTCACACATGGGGTGAGTGGCCCTGCCAGGAGGAAGTGGGTATTTGACAAGAGTCTCTCAGGCCCATTTGACCGCACCCCACACAGATGGGCGCCAAGACAGAACACTCAAGGATTCTGGCTCCCCTGCCAAGTCTTGGTCTCCAGAAAGCACAGCTGCTCAGCCTCTCAGTCGCCTTCCTAAAGCCCAGACAAACATTCAAGGAGATGCAGGGACCAAGATTATACTGACCTGGAAAGTCATCTCGGCTCTCCCTGGGCCACTTAGTCCTTCCGTGGCTATAGCAAGGCCCGTGCCATGCATGTACACACAAGTGCCTGTTCTTCCCAACTCTGAGCCCTCTGGAGCTGAGGAAGAGTTTGGGAGCTCAGATCTTGCCCATGCTGGGGAGCAGCTCGAGACACCTTGGGTGTGGCTGCCCACATCTACAGATGCAGGGCTGAGCGACCTCAGAGGCACTGGAATTTATCAGGGCATTGCTGGGCTCTTCCCTCCAAAGATTCAGGTTTGCCAGGACACAGCCCAGGAACCCATTTTAAGGGGATCCCCAGGGACTTGGAGGAATGACCAGATTGGGAACCTGGCTTCTACATCTCTTTCCAGCCCAGGGGCTGACAGAGAGAGGGAAGGAAGGTAATCTGCTGTGGGAGCGTGGGCTTTCCTGCTGCTGTCCTGCTCTAGGGGCTGGAAGTCCTCTGCTGGCCACTGGCCCACGCTGAGAGCTGGCTGGGGAGAGACATAGCCTTCATTCTGAGACTCCTCTGGGTCTCAGCCACCTGCTGATAGATCCTAGTCTCTTAGCTTCAGAACCTTACCCTCTTTTTTCTTTTGTTTTTCGAGACAGTGTCTCACTATGTAGCCTTGGCTGGCCCTGAACTTGCTGTGTAGACCAGGCTGTCCTTGAACCCATAGAAGTCTGCCTGCCTCTGCCTCCCAGGTACTGAGATTAAAGGCATGTACCACCACCACCACCACACCCAGCAGAGAGTTACCCTCCTGACTTGCAGGTGCCCGAGCCTGCCCTGAAGAGCTGACTCAGAGGTCTCAGTAGGCCCAGGAACCTGTATCTCAGCAATGTTCATGGGACCACTGGGCCACTGAGTGCCTGCAGAGCAGTGCCAAGAGCCTGTTACCTCGCCACTGGGTACTGTGTCTCTTCTTGGGGATCATGGAAGATGGCCCAACTCCAGCAGTACCTCCAAGCCCTTGCTTAACTGCCCCCAACTGTGCAGCGACCAAGAGCTATAGCTCATTCTGCCTGTTTGCGTGAACGGCCTTATTTGGGCGAGTGGGGGCCTAGGTGTGCTTTAGGTTGCTGTTCTTCAATAAGACATCTCCCTGGCCTGGCCAGAAGCCTGGTGTGGTTCTGGGTGGGTTCCAAACAGTGGCTTGGCTCCGGCTTCCTGTGTAGACTGGGGAGAAGAGGCCCCTAGAAGTCCTTACAGCAGTTTCATTTCAGTCAGGTTAGGACCCCAAACCGGAGCATTCCCGCACACAGAGCTGAGGCTGTGGGGCTCCTGTGGAACCCTCTCTGAAGATCCAGGGGCTCTCTGAGGAGGTGAGGGGACCCCTAGGGCTTCCCCCAGCCCTCTCTTCCTCCTCTCACCTCAGCCCCACTTCTGAACAGAAAGCTGTCCACAGGCCACCCTGAGACCAGGAGCGAGTGCTGGGGACAGGGAGGGAGGTGGCTCCGGGTTGGGGGTGAGTGGGGAAGCAGTGTGTGACAGGCCAAGGAAGAGAGAGGGCTCTGTCTCCCCTCTGACACTGGAAATGGCTCCTGCCACTCTCCCAGGGCCCTGGTGGGATGAGCTGAGCTGACTCACTTGGGAAGCAATATAAAGCCAAGTTCCCCCTTAAGAGAAGCAGCGTCCACTGTAAAACCCCTCCTTCCCAGAGGTCTGAACTAAGGCCCGCCCACACGCTCCGAGCAGACTTCTTATTGGCGAAAGGGTTTCTTTCATCCAGTGGTTTCACAAGTATGGCATCCATCTGTGCTGTAGAAGAAATAACCCCCAAGCCTTGGCCGCCCAGGCTGGGTTGTCCCAGCCTCTGCTCTGCTGGCAGGCCTCCACGGAGCTTGTGGGACCCACTCCAAAGTGTCCTTGGTTCAAAAGTGGTTAAGAATTTCACAGCAGGGCTGGAGAGATGGCCCTCAGGAGCACGCGTTGCTCTGCAGAGGACCCGAGTTGGACTCCCAGAACCCATGTGGCAGTGCACAATCACCTATAGTTCCAATTCCAGGGAGTCCAACACCCTTTTCTGGCCTCTGTGAGTACCAGGTAAAATTGGCATACGTAGACATGTGCAGGCAAAACACGCATAAAATAAAATAAATCATTTTTAAAAAAGAATTTCAAGTCAGCAGCAGGAGCGAGCCATCTTGAGCTGATCAGGCCCCTCTCCACCCACAGGCCCTGCATACTGGTGATGCCTAGGGCACATATGTGTGGTGAGCCCAGCCGGGGCTGTGTCTGCCCAGGCCTTGACTGGAGCCTCAGAGTTAGTTTCCAAGATGGCTCCTTCGACTTCCTCAGTTCCTCTCCATAAGTATCTCTCTCCCCAGAGCCATGTAAGCATCGCTGTGGTATGGCAACTGGCCCCTCCAAGACCAGGGATGACGGGAGAGAGTGTTAGTCAGCTTCCGCTGCTGTGACAAAATCAGCCTGTAAAGAGAAACGTGTTTTAGGTCATCGTTACAGAGATGCCAGTCCAGGGACTGGACGGGTGGCTCAGTGGGTAATGCCTATCTGTCACAGAAGCCTGAGGCTCAGATCCCCAGCACCCATGAGCATGCCAAGCAGGCATGGTGACCAGCCTGCAATCCTAGTGCTCAGGAGGTGGCAACAGGGGACGCCCAGGGCAAGTTGGCTGTCTAGGTTCAAGTGAGAAACCCTGCCTCATATTAAGGCAGAGAGTAACGGAGGCAGACACTAAGTGTCAGCCTCTGGCCTCCACATGTATCCACACACATACATGTGCCCCCACATGTGTGACCATGAATACACTCATGCACATAGTATGCACACACACACACACACACACACACACACACACACACACACAAAGTAACAGTCCACAATTGCATGGCCTGGTTGCTTTGGGCCCGTTGCAGAAGCGAATGTGGGAGATCTGTTCACCAGACACATGGCATTGGGGGAACAATGGGTAGAGAGGATGGGGGGGTCTCAAGATCGCCTTCAGGAACACATCCCCACTGATCAACTTCCTTTCACTAGGCCCCACCCCTTAAAGGATCCATCTCTCAATAGTACCCTGTGCTGGAATCAAGCCTTCAATATGTGAGCCTTTGGGGGGACACTTCTAAACACAGTCTACAGAGACAAAACAGAGAAACAGAGACAAGTGTGAGACAACAGAGAGTAACAGAGACACACACAGAGAAAATGAGGGGACATTGCCTTTAAAAGTAATGATAAATGCGTGACAATATTCCTGTGTAGCTGCACAGCCCTGTGGCATTAACTACGTCTACAGTGCATGGAACCTTCTTCATTGCCTATAGCCAAACCTTTTTCCTCTTTCCCATCAGCTTTCCCCTCATTAATCAACTCCCCATTCCCCTCTTCCGGTCCCTGGACCCGACACTTTGCTTCTGTGTCTGTGACTGACCACCCTCAAAGCCTCATGGAAATGGAGCTGAGCCATACATGGTCTGTCCTTCCATGACTGGATTATTTCACTGGGTGATGTTCTCCGGGGTCATCTTTGTCAGAATGTCTTCTTCTTCCCCTCCCCTCCCGCTTCTCCTCCTCCTCCTCCTTCATCTTCCAGACAGGGTTTCTCTGTATAGCCCCCACTGTCCTCGCTCTGTAGATCAGGCTGGCCTCGAACTCACAGAGATCCACCTGCCTCTCTGCCTCCGGAGTGCTGGGATTAAAGGCGTGCGCCATCACTGCCCAACTAACATTTCTTCCTTTTGAAGGCTGAATAATATGACATGGCAGTTCCACATTTTGTCTGTTCATCTGTCTCTGGACGGACACTTGGGATTGCTTCTACCTCTTGGCCATTGTGAATGGTTCTGTTCTCATGGGGTACACAGGTGTGTGAGTCCCTGCCTTCAATCCCAAGTATTCACCTGAGAGCAGTGTTGCTCGAGTGTGAACCCTGTTTAACCCTTTGAGGAACCATGTGCCTTTTTATGATCTACTTTACATGGCATCACTCCTGCATACTCTATTTGAAGGCCACAGGCAGGGCAAGCAGAGGAAATGCACCATGGGGCTTGGGATGTATTTTGCAGCCACCATGGTGAATACCCAAAGTTATAGGTACGGTTCCTACCTGCTGAGCTGTCTCATTGTAAGTGAGGTTCATGGCCTCACCCCAGTACCAGCCATAAAGTGAATCCATCGACCCCTAGCTGCCAGCCCCCTGCCACAGGGCTTGGCCAAGTGCTTGCTCTAGAGTGGTCCAGTCTCCTTCAGAGTCAAAGGGAGGCCTGGGAAGGTACAGCAGCCCTGGGTGTGGCCTGACCTTTGCAGTGTTGTGAAGAGGGAGCCTGGGGAGGCCTGATTGGGTCACTTGCAACAGGAAGAAGCTTTGCCTGGATCCCCCTCCTAGGAAGCAGCCCAACTCATTCAGGCTGTCACCCCGGTCTTTGGACTCTAGGTGTCCTGGTGTCAGCAAAGAGGCCCTCAGAAGCTTGGAAGAGAGCCACAAATCAGAGCCAACAGGGATACATCCATAGACCTTCATAGGGGGGTCCTGGTATGGAGAAGGGGTTCCTCTGGGTTGTCTGGAAGAAGGCGGAATGAACAGAGGAACTCATGTGGTCTTGGACCCTGTGCCATCCAAGACAGGGTCCCCAGGTGAAGGTTGTGACAGTGAAGTTGGTACCTGTGTGGCACTTATCCTTGAGCGCAGATGGTCTATGCCTGACCTGGATGTGTCCCTGAGCTCAGCGCCATCCCCAGGGAGGCTCCAGAGTTCATTATTCAGCACATGTTTATAAATGCCTGCCTTGTGCCAGGAGAAGCAGTCCCAGGTTGCCTCGGGTCACTTGCAAGAGCTGCAGCCCGGGCTTCTGATAGCTATGGCCACTGTTGACATCACGTGCTTGACCTGCAGGTGGGAGCCAGTGCCGCTGAGGGTGTTGTCCTTAGCTCTCTGGGGTGGAAGATGGTTCTGCCTGGGAAGGAGCAGGTCCTAAAGACCTGCCTTGCACAGTGACAGAGACCAAGGGGAGCCTCGGCAGCACCTATGACTGGGCGCAGCTCCTGTCAGGAGTCCGGAGCCCCCTTTCCTGGATAAGGGCTTGCCTTCTGCATACCAGCTCACTCTCTGCTGAGCCCTCCTTAGAGTCAGAAAGGTCTTTCTATCGAGTTTCTTGACTGAGGAGCTAGGCGAAGGGGCACCCAAAGGATGGAGCCCACTGAGGACAAGAAGGAGCCCAGGGAGAAGCCACACAGGTTACAGGAGCTGCAGCCAGGACTTCGGATAGCTGGCCCGATACTGACATCACATGCTTGACAGGCAGGTGGAAGCCAGTGCCGCTGTGGGTCAGGGGATCATGAGCAGAAGGGCCCCCAAGTCCTCTCATGTTTGGGTGACTGGAGCAGCTTTGCCCTCAGAAGCCACAACTCCAGCTGGACTCAGGTGTCTGGGTCCTTGAGCTCTCTCTACTCAGCAGAAGGGAGAGGAGTCCCCAGCAGCAGGAAGCCCGCAGTAGACCAGGCAAGGGGACATGGTCATACTTCTCCATTCCTCTGCCCTGGGAGACTGAGGTGGGTGTGTTAGCTCTGGGTGAGAGCTGCCACTGGCCACCTGACCCAGACCCTCATGCCTGGCCTGGCAAGAGGCTGTGGTGGACTTACCCGTCACCACCTCTGTTTACCAGCCAGCGGAGTGTCATTTACTTTCTGTTCTTACATAGGTTTTGTCACAGTTCTCTTCTTCCTTAGCCTTTTCTGTGAATTCACAGATCTGATGTGCTGGGTAGGGTTTCTTCAAAGCCATTAAAGTAAACACCATTCTTAAAAATGGGGTCCACGTACCTACTCCCTTAATTCCACATACACAGAGCCCCGTGGTTCCTTCTGCGGGAGGAACCTGTGTCCTAGAAAGGAGATGGGACCCGCCTGGCCAAGCCTCTTCAGTCTCAAAGCAGGTGGCTGAGGACAGGCAGCCCCCACCAACAGGCCTTTCCTGGGGAACCTAGGGGCAACGAAGCAACTAACTCTATCTTAGGGTTTCTATTGCTGTGAAGAGACACCATGACCACGGCAACTCTTACAAAGGACAACATTTAACATTTAACTTAGTGATAATCATTATCACTAAGGCAGGAAGCATGGCAGCATGCAGGCAGATATGGTACTGCAGAAGGAGCTGAGCGTGCTGTATCTGAATCCACAGGCAGCAGGCAGAGAGCTGGATTGAGTTTCTGAGACCTCAAAGCCCACCCCCTAGGGACACACTTCCTCCAACAAAGCCACACCTACTCCAATGAGACCACACCTCCTAATAGTGCCACTCCCTATGGACCTATGGGGGCCCTTCCTATTCAAACCTCCACACACTGAGGGACCCAGCTGGGCCTTCTCTAGAACAGCATCCTCAGGGACAGATGGAAGAAAGCTCTCCTGTAGCCTGCTCTGCTCAGAGTGGTGTGCCCCAGAGTGGAGGCAGCTGGGGCATCTCAGACCGGCCACCCTGATGGGCCCGCACTAGGAAGGAGACAGACAAATGTGCTTTGGTGCAACCTCAGAGCTTTTGTTGGCAGGTCCCGGAAGCAGGCTCTCAGCAGGTACCAGGGACTGGTCTTGACTTAGGGAGACATAGGTCAGCCTGGACAGAGTGGGGGTCCAGTTAGAAATAGAGGGTCTAGGGGACCAAGTAGAACATAGCCATCCTCAGTGAGGGGCTGACAAGGATGTGGGTCCCAGAGGATGGTTTGGGTAGGGCTGGGGGAGAAGCCATGCTGCTGAGCTTGGATCCAGGAAATGGAGGAAAAAATGGAAGGACCTGTGTCTATTGTAGCTGCTGCCAGGTCACTGCCATCGGCGTCAGAAAGCAGTCCAGGTCCCTAAGTGGCCGCACACTTAGATTCCCAGTCATCTGGTGTTTCTCATACCCATATGACAGTGATGATAATGACATACAGGGAGCACTCACTGCTTCATGTGAGCACATAGGACAGTGGTGATGTTGACAGATACAGGGAGCACTCACTGCTTCATGTGAGCACATAGGACAGTGGTGATGATGACAGATACAGGGAGCATTCACTGCTTCATGTGAGCACAAAATAGGACAGTGATGATGATGACAGATACAGGGAGCACTCACTGCTTTGTGTGAGCACAAAATAGGACAGTGATGATGATGACAGATACAGGGAGCACTCACTGCTTCGTGTGAGCACAAAATAGGACAGTGGCAATGATGACAGATACAGGGAGCACTCACTGCTTTGTGTGAGCACATAGGACAGTGGTGATGACAGATACAGGGAGCACTCACTGCTTTGTGTGAGCACAAAATAGGACAGTGGTGATGATGACAGATACAGGGAGCACTCACTGCTTTGTGTGAGCACATAGGACAGTGGTGATGATGACAGATGCAGGGAGCACTCACTGCTTTGTGTGGTTACATAATTCACAGCAACCTATAAGCAGGTGTTGCTTCCTCCCATTTTACAGAGCTGCAGACTGAGGTTGAGGTGACGGGGGAGGGGGGCGCGGGGGACGCGGTCCCTCCCAATTTAGAGTTAGTTTGGTGGCCACAGAGCATGTCCCTCTGTTTCCTGGCTCTGTGGAGGGCCTGGGGCCTGGTGTGCTCTCAGAGGTAGACATGAGGTGAAGTGCCCCATGGGGCTAAGGTGCTGGAACTGAACTAAGAAGGGCACTATCAGAGCTCCTAGGCATAAGGATACTATCAGGATGGTGCCTGGGAGATCCGGTGCCAAGAAGGAAGGTGCTGGCAGCCAGCTAGAAACTAGGACAGTGGGGGAGGGTGCCAGGAGCAGGAATTGTGTGGGCTGTTTTTGCCTGAGGTCCTGGAGCCCTGTGGGACCAGGGAGAAGGTGGCTGCTCTTCACCCTCCAGCCCCGTGGCCCAGTCTTGGGTGGGAGAAGACAGCAAGAACTTAGAGATCCCAAGAGCCCCAGGACCAAGGCTGGCGCTGTGCGCTCCCTGGAACCAGACCCTTGATCCCACAGCCCCGCTTCACCCTTTCGTGGGTTGTGTACCTTCAGCTGATTAGTCAGCCTCCGCCTCAGCTCCCTTTTCTGCAGCCTGGAGGGGTGGTGGGGAAGCTAATTGAACCGACACATGCAAGGTGCTCAGAGCAGCCCTGGCACACAGTGCTGTTCTAGCAAAGGGCAGAACCCGCACGTGGGAGAGCAGGGCCCATAGTGACTCAGTCCTAGAAAATCCTTCCTGCTTGGTGCAGGGTGCAGCTCCAAGCCTCACTACAGCTCCCTCACTCCTTCCTCATTCCTCACAGCCCATCAACCCCTGCCAGCCCAGGCAGGGACTAGGAGAGAACCTGAATATAAGTTCACAAGTGGTGTGGAAATAAGGCCAGAGGGAGGGAGACTGTTAGACCTCACTGGCCAAAAGAAATCTGAAGTCAAGGTCTGAGCCTTCTTCCGAGCCTAGTCCCTGCCCTGCTGAGGGCAGTCTTAGGGTCCGGAATGAATAATGGGTTTGTTTCCTGCAGAATGCCCTCCTATGATGGTGTGGCTCCTGTCAGGGGCTCAGTGGCGAGCCTTTCCTGTGTTTCCCTCTGATAGGGTTGGAAATAGAAGAGCAGAGAGGGGCCAGGGGAAGGGCAAGGTGCTGCCTAGAGCTCTATGGTGCTGCCTAGAGCTCTGTGGTGCTGCCTAGAGCTCTATGGTGCTGCCTAGAGCTCTGTGGTGCTGCCTAGAGCTCTATGGTGCTGCCTAGAGCTCGGTGGTGCTGCCCAGAGCTCTGTGGTGCTCCCTCAGGCTCAGCCTGCAGCACCTGAAGCCAGCTCGTAGCTCCCCGAGTCCCAGTCAGCCTCCTTGTCTTGGGGGAGACCCCGTGGGTCACAGGGCTTTGCACCACTGCTGCTGGCATGGGCCCGGACAGGGTGGGGGTGGGCACTAGGGACTATCCTTGGCTACGTCCAGCTCCTCATGACTTCTCTGTTCCTGCAGTACGTCTCCATGACAGCATCTCTGAAGAAGGCTTCCACTACCTGGTCTTCGATCTGTAAGTGCCAGAGCTGAGGACCCTCACCCTCCTTCACTCCCAGCGTGGGGCCCTCGTCCTCCTCGGCCTCAGGAACAGTTCTGTCCCTACATCAGGACACCCCTCGAGTGCGCCTCTGCAGGGGCTTTCCTCGTTCCCAGACATACCCAGCCTACCCACCTCTGACTTGGCTATGCACAGGTTTTTACCCACAAGTCTGAGTGTGACATGCTGAGGTGGTCCTCCATGCAGAAAGTTGGTAGGTGGGGGCAGTGGAGGGGGTACCACAGGGAGCAGTCAGTTCCCATTCATCTTCCTCCCTTCTGAGGCCTGGAGGCTCCAAGTCCTATCACGCCAGGTTGGGGTAGAGCTGGCTGGCGTGAGCACGTGTTTTATAATTATGAGTGAAGGAATGTACATACACACACACACGTGTGTGATGGTACCTGAGCTTGTGAGAGAGAGTAGGTACAGAGGTGGTTTGTCTAAGGTCCATGGGTGTACATGCATGATGTCTGTTTTCTGAGTGTGAACCTGTACGTGGTTTGGGGACGCAAGCCTGTGTGAGTGTGTGTGTGTGTGTGTGTGTGTGTGTGTGTGTGTGTGTGTGTGTGTACGCATGCATGTGTGCATGTGAGTGTGTTTGCATGAGAGTGTGTGCAGTAGCTAAGTGAGAAGGCGTTCGGGGCCAACTCCGCCTCTCACTTCCTGCCGGATTTAGAAGCGATGATCTCATCTCCCTTACTCCTGACAGCTCCTGTTAAGCAGCACTATATTTAGCTGTCCGTGAATCAGGGCTGCTTCGGGACCCTGGGCTGGGTGGGGGGCCCAGGGGCTTTGGCTTGCCCTGGTGGCCTCCAGACTGCGCAGCCAGGGGAGCCTGGATCTGGTGCTGTTACCATGGTTACCACATGCCCTGTGGCTGCCCTTGAGCAACAGGCTGAATGGGAACAGGAGGTGCCTTCCTAGGCCCATCTTCCTCCTCAGACAGCAGATGTCCAGGCTGTTGGACATGCAGGCCTTAGCGTCTGCTCCCTGTGGGGTCTTCTGGTGAGGAAGCTAGACCTTCATGGAGTTTGGATATTGCTCAGACACCTCTATGTGTCCCACAAGACCCTGCCTAGAATTATCAGCTCGATAACGCTACAGTCTGACTGAATCTGTGTCCTGACATGTCAGTCTCGTGGCCTGAGGTGGACAGGGTCACTGTTTCCCCTATGTGCCCCAAACCCACTTTCACGGCTCTCTCTTCTCCAAAAACAGAGGCCTGTGGACTGAGGATGGTCCTGTCCAGGGCCCCTGATGGCCAACAGATGGTTGTAATTATTGCAGGAGCTGAGAAGGAAAGAGAATGGGGGAGGGGCTGTATGTGTGTATATGGCACATTTATCCCTCAGACCTCCCAAGACATGCCAGGCAGGCAGCTGCAGGGAGAGACTGAGGTGGGTCTGGACAGAAGGCCTAAGCATCCTTCTCCCGTGCCTCCGGAGCCTTCAGGGTTGCGGGTTCTGAGGTGGTCTGGTAGCGCCCCAGCAGGCCCTGAGGCCTTGTCAACCTGGAGCCCTGTGGGTTCTGGGAGATGACTGGTACACACCAGGCCAGGGCATGAAAGCTACAGGGCGGGGATCCCAGCCATGGTCCCAAATTTCCCACAGCAGCCAACCCAGTGGAGGCCCAGTTCCCTGCCCTGAGACTCTGGACCAGGAGATGGCCTGGTGCCCACACACCAAAATGCAACTTCCTGAACACTTGAGGTACCGCAGGAGGCCTAGCCCTGGCACAGATCTGGCACCTCCAAGGGCATCCTTTGAGCTACAGCTCTGCACCAAGACCCACTGGCCTTATGCCATTTCCTCCGCCCAGACTTGAATTTGCAAAGCCTGGTTCCAGACTGTTTTGTCCTGAGACTCAAACAATTGACCACCTAGCATGGAGACAGCAGCCCCTTATCTGGGCTGCTCCTGAATCTGACTTTCCTGTTGCACGTGTGTGTGCAAACGACACACTCACAATGCTGCCTTTTCTCCTTTGGGGTGGGCATTTGCTGGCTGGAGACAGAGACAAAGGACAGGAGGGTGTGTGGGCAGAGTATACCACCTCTGTCATCCGTGGTCTCGTGGGGACAGGAGTTCAGGTATCTCAAGACTTCAGCCCACCATGGAAGCCATATCCAGGCACCATATCCTCTGGACACTCATCACTGTGTGAGGCCTCAAATCTGGCCTGGGACAGGGGAGCACTGAAGTGGGGAAGCCAGATCTCCTCAGACCTAGAATTGGAGTCACCCCTCTGGGTCTAACACTAGAAAGCCCTGGCTCAAAGCCCTGTGCTGCCTACTCTGGGGAGACCACTTAGATCTGAGAAACTCCGTTTTCTCAGGGGACGGCTGTGAGCATAGAAGTATTACATGAAATCAGGGGTGGGCAAGTTTGCCCTTAAGAAGTTGTCAATGGAGGATGGAGGTGATGGTGATCGGGCGTGAGATGGTGATGATGATGGTAGTGATCGTGATGAGATGGTAGCAGTGATGATGATGATGATGATGATGATGATGATGATGGTGATGGTGGTATTGATAGTGGTGATGGTGAGGTGGTGGTGATGATGGAGATGATGATGGTGGTCATGGTAATGGTGATGTAATGAGAGATGATATGAGAACAGCGATGTCGATGATGATGATGATGATGATGATGATGATGATGGTGGTGGTGGTGGTGGTGACAGTGATGGTGAGGACAGTGATGGCAATGGTGGTAGAAATGATGGTGGTCCTGATGGCAGTGACGACCATGGTCATCATGGCGGTGGTGGTGGCTATGATGGGTGATGATGGTGGGGACAGTGATGGAGGTATCAGGGTGATGGGGAGCTCCAGGATCCATGGCCCTGTGCTTTCTCGTAGGGTCACTGGTGGGGAGCTCTTCGAAGACATCGTGGCGAGAGAGTACTACAGTGAGGCCGATGCCAGGTGGGTTCAGAGCTCCGCCCCGCGCTCCCCTTTCTGTGACCCCCACTTGTCCCGTGAGTCGCTGTCATTTCCATGGCCCCTCAGAGGCCACCTGAGGAGAGGTGTCAGTCAGCAGGCCTATGGGAACTCTCTGAGCCAGAGGCGGGAGCAAGCTGCGTGCCTTTAGCCAGCACAGAGGTGTGGCCCGAGTGGGGAGCAGCTGGGCATGCGCAATAAGGAGGTGCTCTGGGGGGGGGGCAGCGGGGCATGCGCAATAAGGAGGAGCTCTTGGGGCGGCTTACAGGCGAGGAGCCCTGGACGGTCTCCTGCTTTGCTCTTGGACATCCTATCCACGGCCCACTAGTCCCCCACAGATAAGCATGTGCACATGATTGTCTAAGACAGACAGACCAGGAATCAATCCCCAGCCATGGTGTCCTCTCAGAGCCACCCTGGGCTCCACCCAGCTCGGTCATAGGAGGTCAGAGTGGTGCCGCTGGAAAGGTACCACTGGTTCTCCTCCCAGAGCTCCTGGACTCCTGCTCCAGGGCAACGAGAAGAGGTCAGGAGAGACCTGGAACCTTAGTCTCAGTCCAGGGCCAAGGGCCCCGTGCCCTCCCATCCCGGATGCCAGGCAGAGGCTTGAGCTCTGGGTCTATGGGCCTCTGGCGTGCAGGTGAGTGGAGGCACGTGGATTCCGTCCAGGCCTGGACTCCTCATGGATATTCGAGGAAACGGCCTTTCTCTCCAGGCCAGTCTTTTCCAGGGCGGTAAAGAAGGATGATGATGACCCAGAGGTGGCTGTTTATGGCATGGCTGCTGAGGACCAGAACGAAGGGTGTCAGCTGTGGCTTCTGGGGCCCACATCGGATGCCACCCAGACTGTGTCTTGTCTCAGGGATATCTGCAGATGGTCACCCCTGCCTGTGGGCCCTGTCCACCTCTGCCTGACCACAGAGATAGATGTGTGTTTAAAAAAGAAAAGGGGCCACAGTGGTCCTTTCCAAGCAGTCGAGTTATGGGTGTTTTTAAATTTTTTATCTTGTCTATCTTAAAGCTCGTCTTTAAGGAATATGTATTATATCCCTAATCAAGAAAAATGAATATTATTTTTGCAGGAGCTTTATGTGACTCGGTTCTGCACTGGCAGGCACCCTTGCCTTTCACCACAGGCCCTGATTCCCTGTGGGAAACCATGAGCATCTTGGCTCATCATGGCCTCTTAGGTCTTCCCCATGGAGCCAGGCAGCAGAGGCCAAGCCACAGAGAAGGACAGGGTGGGACAGTGTGGCCCCAATTCTCAGTCTCGGGAAACTAAGAGTGCTGGGTCCTTCTGAAGGCTCCCTCAGGAAAAACACTGTTTTGAAAAACATCCTAAAAGAAGCCTGTCCCGGGAACTGGAGGAAAAGGAAATTTTCCTGTATATTCTACTTATGAGAGAAGCAGAAGGTAGCAGGAGCTCCTTTCTCTGACCTGAAATGCTGGGTGAGAAATATCAGTAAGCTGGAATGTCACGGCCCTTCCAAGTACCTGCTGGGGTGTCTAATATTCCTTCTCTCCTTTTCTATGTCTTCCAACCCTTGCCCCCACCTCCATCCCTATGACCCCATGTGGTGGTGGGTCCCTGAAAGCCTTGTCCTCTAACCTGGGGACTGCTTCTACCATTGAGGTCAAAGCTCACCCCCAGCATACAGGCCACACCAGGGTTCCAACCTCAGTCTCTCTCTGACAAGTCCACAGCGCCCTCTGGTGGCTCTGAAGCGCCTGCCTGTAGCAGAACCCCAGTCCCCTTAACCCCCATTTCCGGACCCCCAGCCTTCTTGCTACAGGAGATGGAGGAATAGGGTAGACAGACCTATCCAAGATCTGTTGGGTCCAGGAGGACTCAAGACTGGGAGTGGCTGAGAGTCCCCAAGTTCTCAGGCTGTTCAGGTCATAGGAACCTGGAGGCTGGGACAGGGAAGTGTCCTGAGTCCTTGCCAGGAACCTTCACGCCTCTTCAGAGGACGGGACTCCCTGCTGCTTCCTAGGGAAACCCTGTGTGGAGAGTATTTAAGGCTTCTTGGACCTAGCCCTGGCTCAGAAGACATGGGTCTCTCTGTCTCCCCACACAGCTCTTCACAGAGCTCTGTCTCTTAGGGATTTGGGAATGCAAGGGAAGGGGCATGCTCAGTAATCAGGCTGTGAGGAAGGGGTGGACAGGTTGAGTCCTGAGAAGAGGGGAGAATCCCCAGGAAGAGGCTACCCGCCACGTGTATGACAGCCCAGTCTACAAGGCTGTTCCTCTGCAACTTGGCTTTTCTTTCTCACAGTTCTCTGCCTTGAGGGAGAACACACAGCCGGGACTCAGATCTCTGGTGGTCTGTCTGCTGGCTGGATCTTTACGTTTCTACCTCAGGCTTTGGTGCCTAATGGGGAGTCTGTTTAGGTCAGCCCTGTGGTTATTACCCCTCGGCCATTGACTCGCCCCAGGATGCATCCCACCACTGACTGGGTTGAGAGGACACCGTCTGGCCAGATGCAGTGGAGGCAGATCCCTACTGTCCAGAGCAGGAAAACAGACCAGAGTGGCTTTTCAGAAGCCATTTCTATCCAAGGAAGCTGGAGGTTCCTTTTAGAGTGCCGCAGGGCTTTTATTCTGGAGCTTGTAGGGGAAACTTAGAGGTGACCGAGTCTTTTTGGAAAACTAAGTTCCAAATACCGACACTAATTCTTATAAGTCTTAGAAGCCAGACACAGTGACAGCTACTGTAGTACTGACGAGGTCCCAGACCGAGAACCATGCCCAGAACCCTGCCAGTGCCCAGAATGCTGTTTGAGGATGATTCTGCCCACAGAGTGACTTGTAAATTGATCAAAACTTTGACGCCGGGTGGTGGTGGCACACCTTTAATCCCAGCACTTGGGAGACAGAGACAGGCGGATCTCTGTGAGTTCAAGGCCAGCCTGGTCTCCAAAGCGAGTTCTAGGACAGCCAGGACTGTTACACAGAGAAACCCTGTCTCAAAAAAATAAAAAAAAAATAAGAAAGGAAGGAAGGAAGGAAGGAAGGGAGAGGGAGAGAGAGAGAGAGAGAGAGAGAGAGAGAGAGAGAGAGAGAGAGAGAGAGAGAGAAAGAGAGAAAGAAAAGTATTGACTTTGCCTGATGATGGAGGTAGCAGTTGGGCCAAGGCAGCTTGAAGAAAGGTCCCTAAAGAGAGTCCCCTGTGTGGCCATTCAGGGGTAGTCTGCCTTCAGGCCAGTGTTACCACTGTCCCTCATGCAGCCTGGTACCACATTCTCCTGGAGAGCCTTGGCTTGCTGACCAGCCTGTTCCTGGGTACTAGAGATCCTCCCAGGGTGGCTGTGAAGTCTGGGAGGAACCTCCACCTGGGTGAGAACTGGACTATGCCAGAAAGGAAAGATCATGAGTCCAGCAGCATGGGCCAGTGCCTCCGGGCACCTAAAGAGGTCTCTAGTGGTTTTCTGGGGACCCAGAACCAACAGGAAGGGTGCCTCAGGGGACAGGTGTGTAGAACAGTGTGCACTGCTATGCACATCCTGGTCATGCCGTCATGGAGGGTAAGACCACAGGGCCTGGTCTAGAGCCTTGACTGGACTTCAATGGTCTCTCAAGAGACCGAGCTAGAGGAAGCTCATGGAGGAAGGTGCCAGCTCTGGCCCTCAGCAATCTCTGCAGTGTGTGGAGCAGACTGGTGGTCTTTGCTGGTGGTGTCTAGGGAGATGACATTTCCTCGTGAATATGACTGCACATGAATCGATCCATTGGAAGAACATCCCAGGCAGAGGAGAGGTCAGCAAAGCAGGCCTGCAAACCACAGACATGACCTATAGTCTGTTCCCCCTATTCTCTCTAAATAGGGCCACCGGGCCTGGCTCTCCATTCTGTGTAGTCTCAGAGGCCCACTGGCCATTGGGAGAGTCAAGAGGAGCCTCTGAGGGGCTGGGGGACGTATTGTGAACTCTTAGCTGTGCCCCCATTGGCTCTGGTATATGCCATGTTCGGCCTGTGGGAAGACTGAGCTCTGCCCACTTGAGTGAGGCATGCTGTGCCCAGTCCTGCAGGCCCTGCCCTGAACACAGCTGACCCCTAACCTGCATGGGACTGAGAGCCACCCTGAGTGACAAGTGCTTGACTCTCTTGGGGACCAGAAAGAGAGCAAGGATAAGTGATGATACCAGGCACAGTAGGAGGTCATGAGAAATGGCAGTTCCTCACTGTGACATAGGCCCTTCAAAAACCCTGGGAGGAGGCTGGGAAGGAGGGTCTCAGGAGCCCAGAACAGGTGAGAGGTGGTAACATTATAGAGGACTGCCTCTTACATACTGGACATGGTTCTTTCTGAACTCACAAACCTCAGGTTCATACCCATTATTGTGTCAAGAGTGAGCTTCATGGGGAGAAAACTTAAATGTAATTTTCATGGAACTTATGCTTGGCTCCAGGGTCTACTGGGATGGGGGAGGGAGTTGAGCACTGGCCACAGGGCTTCTGTGTACATGGGGCTGGTGGCCCTGAGTCTGATGTGTGGACGGACAGGAAGGGTTCGAGGCTGACACTGATAGATGTCACAACGAGGGAAAGGGCTGGGACAGAGGGGACTCCTGTGCTTAAGCTGCCCTCTGGCTAGAGAGGCACCCTGCACAGTGGCTCCTGGAAGCTGAGCTAGATGAAGAGGCACACAGTAATGCATAGTTACTGCTCTGAAGCAGACAAGCTCACCTACCTACCATGGCACCGTGCCCCTACCTGCTCCGCCCTTCCTTGACTTAGTTTCCCCACTCTCTTGCTCACAGTGCCCACTTACTGCTGCCCACAGCTTAGGGTCAATTTAGCCTAGCTCAGCCTTAAAGGCTTAAGCTGGAAACCTGAGTTTTTTCCCTTCTGAGTTACTTCTGTGGATCTGGTTCAGACTTCCAAACAGACCTGGGCCCAGGAGAGGCAGTGTATGGACTAGAACAGCTGCCCTTGGGGCTGAGGAAGGACTCCCTTGTGGCCAGCATCTCCTTCCCCCTGATTCCCCACATCCTCCTTGTTCCCCCAGGCTGGGGATTGAACCCCAGTGCTCCATGGTACTTTCCCCATGCCTCCTGTTGCTGACCCCTCCTGGCCACCCCAGGACCCCACAACTAACCTGTCTGCTGTTTGCCATAGTCACTGCATCCAGCAAATCCTGGAAGCTGTTCTCCATTGTCACCAAATGGGGGTCGTCCACAGAGACCTCAAGGTGAGTTCTACCCTGCCCTGTGATAGGTGCTGTCACCCACACCTCCAAACTGTGTAAAAGGAGGTGTGGAGAAAGAGGGAGGTGGGGTGTGGAAAATGTGTGTGCATACTGTATGCTTGCATGAAGGAGTGTGAGTGTGTGTGTGTGCCTGTCTCCGTATGGGGCCATGTGCCTATGTGTGTACAGAGAGGCATGGGTGCATGTGTGTATAAGTCGCTGGGTGTGTATATGCATGTGTGTACATGTATGTGAGATGTAGCTGCACACTTACAACCCAGTGTCTCTGTCTCTGGAGGAGCCAGCCTTCTGAAGTCATCCTGTTAACAGATGTATACTCAGACTCTTCACTTTCTAGTCCTCTACCAAGATGCAGCTCTGGGGGGTGGGGGTGGGGGGGACACAGGTGACTGGGGACAGGTGCTGAGAGTAGGGTTGGTCTGGCTTGGCCAACTCCTCTCAGATCTTTCTTCCCAGTTCTCTGCTGTCCACAGCTGGACTACGGGCTCCAGACTATATTCAAAATAAAATTTGTAGCTGGGTGTACAGCTGGGTGTAAAGGGGGCTCATCCCTTTAATTCCAGTACCTGGAAGATTGAGGCGAGAGGCTCAGGAGTTCTAGGCTAGCCTAGGCTACATAGCAAGTTTGAGGCCAGCCAAGTCTACACGAGACCCTGCCTTATGAAGAGAAAAGAATTGACTACAAACTCTCAGATGCTTCCCTTCTTCCCTGTAATCTCCCCTTTTCCACGGCCTGCTTCAGCCTGTTGCTGAGTCCGCCTGTTCGGGGACAGTGTAGATGCCAGCCCTGGCCTGAATGTCTTTAAGGCCGACCTTCCCCTGAGCATTAGTGCTGACTGGGGTGGTCACTCCTTTCTTAGGCCATAGCTGTCCTGGGGAGGGTGTCACACAGAGGCCCGAGATGTTCCCTGCATCTCTTCATGTGTCCTTGCTTCCTTGAGGGTCCTGTTCTGTCTTATCTGGCACAAGGCCCCTGAGGCGAGGGGGGACCTTGTCCCCCATTTTATGAGGTACAGGCACTCCGTTCCCAGAGAGTTGACGTTGAGGCTGAAGAGGGCGTGTTTCCTCATGTCTCCAATCCTGGACAAACAAGATCTCCCCGTGGAGAGGATAGAATGTCCCTCCTTTCCCAGAGAGAAATCCCACCATCTTGACGAGGCAGACCCGCAGATGGCACAATAGGTTGATGCTACACAGTCACTCGAGGCAGGAGAGAGCATGGTTAGCTGGTGTGTCTCCGGTGGAGGCTGTGAAGGAGCCAGAGTGCAGCCCAGCCTCTGTGACCCAACTGCTGCCTCCCTCCAAGGTCCCAGGCTTCCTTGCCTTGCACCGTCTAGGGCCCCCATTTGCCCAACACATCTCCATTGTCCTTTCCTGTAGGAAGGGGTGGGGGTCCCAGAGTGAAGCTTGGGGCCCCTGCCACGCTTACAATGGCAAAATCAAAATGGGCAAGGCTGAGCGTGACCCCTGCCTAGCCCCAGGGGAGAGGGAGTTCTAAGGGGACTGTAGCTTTGGGCTTGCCTACTTTGTACCCACAGCTAAGCTCCGGTCTGCCTGTTGGCCCAGAGCATCAAACTCAGGAAGCCCACATCTTTCTGTGTAGGGTGGGCACACTTTGATTCCAAGAGCCACCATTAGGTTGTGTAAAGTCAGATAACAAAAGAGGCCGTGTGGCCGTGTGTGGTCTGGCTGCAGTATGACCCCAGGAGTGAAGTGCCTCTGTGGAATGGTGAGGGTGCCTGTGAGCTTGCCAAGGGGATCTGAGGCCTGAGGAGCCCCCTGGTGGTCAGGAGCCAAACGTCCCGCTGAGCTCTGAGTGCTGCCCAGAGACCTTGGGAGCTAATGCAGCTGCAGGCTCAGGCCAGAACTCTACTGTGATTGGAGGTTGGACAGAAAGGCCAGGGAAGGCAGTAGCTGAGGAGTCTCTCAGGCCCTCACAACCCAGAAACAACAGCCTCTCTGGTTGCTTCTTTAGATGAACCAAATGTCCCTCTACCTGTGGGTGCAGACAACCAAGCGGCCCATGCCTCCTTTCTGTCCATGTGGTAGCGGAGCTGGGTGGGACTTGGTGAGCAGGCTGGGCCTGGCAGGTAGATGCCCTGGGCTGACCAAGGCATTGTAGCCCCTGGGTGTTCCTCCATGTCCTGTGAAGGCGACTGCCCACACCCCTGAACTCTCCGCCATGTGTGAAACGAGAGGGGCAGGACCGGCCCTCTCTCAATGGGGTAGCCCTGTAGCCTAGTGGTGGGAACAGTTGTGGGTGTTTGTGAGGATGAGCTGCGGGTTCGGTTCCCATTTCAGGAGGCAGGATACCCAAGTTCAAGCTGAGAGCCAGCTTCCCTTTGAATGACTAGGATGGCTGTCCTTATCCCCAGAGAGGAACCAGGCTGTAGTGTGTAGTTCTAGGACTCAGTCGTGCCCAAGGACACCCATGTTGGGAGGCAGGCTGTGCCTCTGTGTCCAGCAAACCGCTGCCACCCCTGTCTTGTCCCCTGCCCCCCACAACTGTCCGAGGTGTGAATCCTGTGCCCTGATGGCTGTCTCCCTGTAGCCTGAGAACCTGCTTCTGGCCAGCAAATGCAAAGGGGCCGCAGTGAAACTGGCAGACTTCGGCCTGGCCATCGAGGTGCAGGGAGACCAGCAGGCGTGGTTTGGTGAGTGTCAGGGGGTGGGCAGGGGGTCCTGGCAGCTCCTCATGGCCCTTCATGGTCCCTTTCCCTCTGATAGGATTTGCGGGAACGCCGGGCTACCTGTCCCCTGAGGTCCTTCGGAAGGAGGCATATGGCAAACCCGTGGACATCTGGGCATGTGGTAAGACCTGTGTGTGAGAGGTGGTTGGGTTGCATGATGGAATGTGTGGTCGTGTATTTCAGGGCTCACCCCCTCTCTCCCAGAGCGTGCAGGTGCCTCGCTTCCCCTGCCCTGAGCCAAGTGTGTGTGTGAGACCTGCCTTTGGGCTGGCTGCCTTGGCAGGGATCTCACACCCTGACTAGAAAGTACCAGTGTGCTCCAGGCCATCATGTCTGTCTGCCTGTGCTCATTATAGGTCTGTGTCCAGAGCAAGTGGACACCAGGATACAGGGACCAGGGGCTGTCAGACCACAGGCTCCTTAGGTGGGATCTTCTCTTTCTGGTGGGCATGCAGCAGAGGAGGCTGGCCAGGCTCCCTAGTGAAGTAGGGTGGAGATGGAGCAGGGATTACAGGCTGTTTGTGCCGTGCTCCCCATGGCATGGGGGGGGGGCAAAAGGACACTGAGGACTGACCCTGGTGCCCTCCAGGGCTATGCTGCTCACCTCCCCATCCACAGGGGTGATCCTGTACATCCTGCTGGTGGGCTACCCACCTTTCTGGGATGAGGACCAGCACAAGCTATACCAGCAGATCAAGGCTGGGGCCTATGATGTGAGTGCGCGCCGGTGTGGAGGGTGGGGACTGCCACGCCCCGGGTCTACCTTCCTTGTCATGGCCTCTGCCTGGGGAGGGACTTCAGCCTTGCCCTGTGCACCACTTCCTCCTGTAGTTCCCATCCCCTGAGTGGGACACCGTTACTCCTGAAGCCAAAAACCTCATCAACCAGATGTTGACCATCAACCCTGCCAAGCGCATCACGGCCCATGAGGCCCTGAAGCATCCATGGGTCTGCGTAAGTCATCCTTGGCAGCCTCTAGGGGCCAGTTCCTGGTGGGCATATCCAGGGCCCCCAAGATGGCCCTGAGGTTCCGTTCCTCATGTCTGACCACTCCCCTGGTCTGTGAAGGGCAAGACTTGAACTTGGAAATAAGTTGGGGACAGCAGGGGGAACAAGTGAGCTCATTGTCATGGTGGCTGGTAGCACTCAGAATGCGGGGCCCTAGACTGCCACTCCCCTGACCCTGTCTCCTCAGCCTCCTCTCTTTCCCACTTGGGGGACAAGGCTGATACTTCTAAAGGCCCTCACTGCCCGGTGACTTTCCTTCTCCCGACAGCAACGCTCCACGGTGGCCTCTATGATGCACAGACAGGAGACTGTGGAATGCCTGAAGAAGTTCAATGCAAGGAGGAAGCTGAAGGTGGGCACGGCTCAGACCCCATCCTCCCGTCCTCATGTCCCAGCGGGCCCCATGCTGGAAGTGGGGGTGTCAGTGGGACCTGGAGAAGAGGAGGAGGAAGGAGAAGCCCCCAAGTCTGTGCCCATTCACAAATCCAGCTCAGAGGGTTCCAGATGCCGTGACAGCTCAGAGGGTCAGAACCCTGCCCTGGGTGCAGAGCTGGCCACTTCAGCATCCTGAGGACAGGAGTACTGGCCCAGAGAAGGTTTCGTAAAAGGCAGGGCTGAAGAAGTGTTCTGGTGGGGAGGCAGGTAGGCGGGGCTGAGCCTGGTGGTTGCTGTCCAGACAAGGCCAGGGCTAGGCCTAGGAACCATTCTTTTTTTTTTTTTTTTTTTTTTTTTTTGGTTTTTCGAGACAGGGTTTCTCTGTGTAGCTTTGCGCCTTTCCTGGTACTCGCTTTGGAGACCAGGCTGGCCTCGAACTCACAGAGATCCGCCTGGCTCTGCCTCCCGAGTGCTGGGATTAAAGGCGTGCGCCACCACCGCCCGGCATAGGAACCATTCTTGATTGATGTTTCCCAAAGCCCCGAGGAGAGCCCTGACTGCCCTGGGCCGCAGGAGGGGTCACAGCAGCAAGCCTTCCTGGCCACGCCTACTTCTCAGGAGTCTTGACACTGTGATTTGTGGGGAGTGTGAGCTTTAACTGTGGATATAGTGACTTGCCTTTGGTGCAGAGGCTAGGTCCTGGAACTCTTATTTCTCTAGAAGTCTGGGCTGGCATGTGCATGCGTGTGTGCGTGCGTGTGCGTGTGCGTGTGTGTGTGTGCGTGTGTGTGCAAGGTCTTCTGACTAGAAGCCAGCAGGATGCGGACACTAACAGGGTGACCCTGGCTCTGTTTCTCCTTAGGGAGCCATCCTCACCACTATGCTGGCCACACGGAATTTCTCAGGTGAGACATTCTTCTCCAGGGAGGACCATGTTTCAGTGCCACCCTCGTTCTCCAGAAAGCCCCCTCCTTCCTCACCAGCCCTCAGCCCCAGTCCTCCAGGCTGGTGGGGGCCCGGCTTCTGCCCTCGCCTCTGAGACTTCCCACTTCGCAGAAGGCCTTTGGGCTGCCCTCACTGGGTAGCTGCTGAGGTCTGCTATGCCCCGGTCCCGCCCCCTCCGTGTTGTTGGGTCTGTGTCCCTCACCCGACACCCCAGTGTCTGTGCTGCCAACACCTGGCCCGCCACCTGTATCCGTCCGAGCATCTGTTGGGCAGCCCTGTGGCCTCCTTGTCCTCGGCACTCGAAGCATCGTGTTGTGTGTGGGAGATAGCCGACGGTGGGTGGGTGAGAGTGAGGTCCGCGCACGGGGAAACCTCGTCAGTTCTGGATGGGCCGCCTACCCTGGTTGTTCAGGGTGGGCGATGGGACAACGGAGTCTCCCGGGTCTGTTAGAGACCCGTGGGACCCACCTGGGGGGACGGTGTTGGCCCTAGCGCCCAGACAGCTGTGTCTGTGGCTTCTTCTTCGTCGCCGTCCGACACTAAGTGTGCGAGCGTTCATCATCGTGTCTCTCCTTGTCCGTCTGCATCTGGTACCCTGCCTCCTGTTACTTTGCTGTGATGCTGTACTGCCGGGAATGGGCACACGGTCACACCAACACTAATGGGACTGTCCTGTCTGCTGTGTGCCCCGCATGCCCCATTGGGCACAAGAAGCCCCACTGGGGCTTTCTAAGGAGAAAGGAGGCAAATGCTTTTCAGTGTCTTATCGGCCCCGATCTTGTTCCACTCTCCTGAGAAAGGGATTCTGGAGCCATCCCCCACCTAAACTTTAACTCTAATCTTCTTCTGCTTCCTTTGTCTCTTCTCTTTCCTCACCTTGCCCCACCCCGTCTGTGTCCGCCCCCTTCTCCCCCCTCGTCTCTAACCTGGTGCTAACAGTGGGCAGACAGACCACCGCTCCGGCCACAATGTCCACCGCGGCCTCCGGCACCACCATGGGGCTGGTGGAACAAGGTAGATGTGTCTTGCCCAGTGTCCACCTGCTCCTGCCCATCCCTCCTGTTGGCATGCAGCCCCCCTGCTGCACGCAGCCACTGGCCAGGCCCCCAGAGCCTCCCCAGAGGCTGGCAGCCCCCTGGGAGCTCTGCTCCTGCCTCAGTCACATCCCAGCAGAAGCCCCACCCTGGGCAATAAGGCTGCCCCTCGCTCCTGTCTCATTGTCTGTGAAAAGAGAGGCCCCCATCAAACCCCAGATGCATTTGGCTTTCATTGTCTATAAAAAGAGAGGCCACATCAAACCCTCAGGTACATTTGGCTGAGACCCTCAGGTCCTGGCCTCTGGGAATCTGAAGAACCAATTCAGAATGACCCTGACCTCACAGGAAGCCACTGAGCCTGCTGCCGGAGGGTCTCAGGCCTGGAAGGGGAGCCCTTAGATCAAGGTTAGGGAGGTAAGGATGTCCCAAGGAGCTGCAGGGCTCTTCAGTTCTTCTGATGGAACAGATGGATCTGGTGGTCTGTGCTACAGAGTTCCCCAGAGTGAATGTGGGGATGGTGTCAGTTTCTGGGACTGAAGGTTCCTTCCTGAAGTCCCTTTTAACTTGGTCCCAAACCCCTGAGGGAGAAGGTGGCCTCTGACAACCTGTTCCTTTGGATGGTGTGGGACCCTCTGAGGGCTAAGTCACCCCGAGGCTCATCATGGGCTCCACAGCCACCACGCTAACTGAGTGCTCGCGCAACTGTAGAGCAGCATGCAGGCTCAGCCGAGCTTCAGTTTCCTCTCCGGCCTCGAGTGTGGGCTGAGGGTAGGACACAGGTTTCACAGTCTGAGGTCCAGCTCTTTCCACATGCCTGCCTGGATCCACCTCACGACGCCGCCCCCGGGGCCACAGCAACGCTTTGCCAGCTAGAGGATCCTTCTCCTGGGGGATTCTCAGGTCATCCTAGGAGGGGTCTGTTCTGTCCACCTGGGCCCAGTGTGGATGGTCCCGAGTCCATTTTAGAGCCTTTTTGAAGCCTATATGAGGGGCTAAGTTCATAAAATAAATAAACAAACAAACAAATAAATATGAAGCTAGTGGCTGCCACGGAGGCCCTGTTGCCAGGGGGCAGTGGTGTGAGACAGGTCACCTCTGAGCCATGCTCTGCCCGACACCTGCTGCAATGCTCGCCTGCCTGCAAGTGAGCGAAGGCAACCTTGCATGAGGCTGCCTGCATGTTGTGGCTCTGCCCCAGGTGCTGAGGGAGGTCAGTGCATGTCAACAGAGCTCAGCATGGCTGTCCATAGTGACTAGAGAGTGTGGGTGAGCAGAGACGAAGGTCCCATCGACTCCAGTAGGTTGGCCCCACCACCCCCTAAGGACACATGTCGGGGGTCTCCCCTCTCCACGTCTCTGTCAGACACTCCAGTGTGGCAGAGAACCTTGGACAGCAGGAAGACCCTTGCTGTAGAGCGTGGTGCAGCCTGGCTTCCGCCACCCCTCCCACACTGAGCGGATATGTGCCTTGTGACTGTCAGGCTGGCTGTGGTTTGGGAGTAATTGCTTGGCCTGAGGCCTGGGAGTGGAAAATGCCCTCCTGAGTTGGAGACACAGGCCTGAGGAGCCCCAGCTTTAGGTATCTGGAATCCCATGTAGTTCAGTTCACTTTTGGCTCCGGCTGCACTTACTAAATCTTTTTGACTTGAGACACCTCCCAGGTGGCTCCTCTGCCTCTGAACTGTGGTGTGAGTGGTGTGCACAGGTTCCTGGCTGCAGTGAACCATAGTCTGTCCAGGACAGATGTGAATGCTAGATCCAGGAAGCTTATGGCCAGGGCTAATGCAATCAAGGAGGCTGGGCCATGCCCCCCAGGCCGTGGGGAGCACACATGGGCCACTAGGGGGAGGAGCGGGAAGGATGCTGAAATGACATGGCTCACCCAGGTCCAAATTTGCTGGATAGCATGTCCACCTCCAAATAAACCCCGTTCTCTTTCCACAAATAACTTAATCTCCAGTAGCACAGCTCAGAACTGTGGTTTTGATAGACTTGAGGACTTAAATGAAACACTTCTAAGATCAAGGACCGTCCTGGGGTCTCTGAGGGCCTAATCCTTCCAGTGTGCCTTTTCCTATGAGAACCCTCCAAGGATGTCTGAGGAGGGGTACCACAACGCCACAACTGAATCTCAGACCAATATTGCCACAACTGAATCTCAGACCAATATTGACCTTCACCAGTTCCAACTCAGAATCCACCAGGGAATATGCTGGGTTGGCTGTATGGTCTGCTGGTGGGTAGGGTCAAGCCTGGCTTCTACAGACTGCCTGTTGACATTGTGGCATCTTAGAAATGCTCCTCTTCCCTTGCTGCCCAGAAAGCCATAACAAGGATCCTCAAGACAGGACTGTCTTACATCCTTGGGCTCCAGGGAGGGTCCTGTCGCCCCGCTGTGTCAGGGCCCAAGTCTCTGGTAGAGAAGATAGTAGGCTGGATTCTTAGAGTGGAGGAACCAGCGCTCATGCTGAGGAAACCCATGTTGCCGGTGTAGGGCTGGTGTCTCTAGGGATGAGCCCTGCGGGAAGATGGGGAAGAGAAAGGACAGCATCCACCAAGAGGAGGGCTATGCCAGGGGAGACAGTGCCCTGTCTCTAACTCTAGGGAGAGCCTAGCCACAGTGTCAAAGGCGCCTCACAGTCCACTCTGCAGAGATGTGGGAAGTCAGCATTTCTAGCCCTAGGAACCCCCTTGGGGCTACCTCGGGATTGAGGACCTAGGGGGTCCCAGGTCTGAAGATGACGTGTGAAGGGCAGGATCATTTCAGAGAGATCGGCTTGTAACAGAATTGTTGAGACAAGTACCCAAGACACTGAGAGGGGAAGGCTGTGGGAAACCAGTGCCCACCACAGCAATGCTCAAAAAGCCCTTCAGGTTCCAAGATAGTATGCGGCTTCAGGTAGCCATGTCCCCAGGTCCCAGCACACAGAGCCTGGATGGGCTCAAGTTGTGTCGTCTGGCTGGTGAGGGAGGTGGTCAGCACGCAGCAGTGGGGCCTGGCTCTGGTCTCTGGAAGGTTACCCTCAGAGCTGCAGACACGTACAGAACCCCTCAGAGTTCTCACTCGAGGTGTGGCCTAGATGGTTGCATTTCTGCCCACAACAGTGACATTGCTGTGTGACGGAAGACGGTGTTTGACTGTGTTACAGCCCCCATGTCCCCACCGGGTCTGCTGGAAGCAGCACAGGTTCCCCCAGTACGCAGGGGAGCCTGAGCCTGGGTGTGGTCGGCCAGTGTCTAGCTGCATGGGATGTTGTGGGGAAGGGCCCTGGGGACCCCACCATGCTGTGCCAGCCATGGCTGCCTCTAACCTGCTGTGTTGGCCACACGGCCACTTGACTCTTCTTGGGGAGCACTGAGCCAGGACAGGCTGGCTTTGCTGCCCCGTGTGGGGCCTTTCTGAACCAACACAAATCTTGTTTTCTCTCTCTTCCTCTCTTCCTTCCTCACTCCCTCCTCTCCTCATCTTTCCTTTTCTGTAAGGTAAGCTGACTTCCTCTCTCGCTCTCTATATTTGCTGTTTTAATTCTGTAATTAAAACTCTAAGCTCTGCTCTAGAGGATGCAAGTGCCGGAGAGAAGGGTGGGGCAAAGCTAGACCCATCCTCATCTGAGGGGAGTGATGGAACCAAAGGTTCCATCTACCGAGCCCAGGTGTCTGCCGGGGCTTGTGGGCAAAGAGGCTGGTGTCGGCCACAGTCACAGCCTCCGAGTGGTCTCATGGCAAGGGCTGCTGGGGCCGTTCAGTGGGAGGACAGGGAGGCCAAGCGGCGTAGCCCTGGTGCAGAGTTTTGTTGCCCATCGGAAGATGGAGGGGTGGGGGCTGGGACAAGCCCGTTGGTGTGACAGCCAGCTTTGGCTCACCATCCCAGTGGGAACCCAAGACTTCAGAGGGCAGGGCCAGGTTGAGCATGACCTTCCCTTTGCATCCTGATGCCTACCAATCCTGACCTGGCGCCGTCCTGGGAAGTGGGGGGCAGATCATCCTGCCAGTCAGAGGCAAGGACAAGGAGGCTTGAGTGCCTTGAAGGAGCTCCATAATCGTTGCAGATGCCGAGGGCAGGGCGGTCCTGGGTGAGGCTCCCCAGGCAGCCTGGCTCAGCACCCCTGGAGTTTCTGCTGCTTCTAGGGCCAGGCCAGATATCAAGGCCACAACTGCCTCTGGCTTCGGGTGACTGGACCTCGGGTCCTGAGCTTCACCCCTGAGGAAAGGGGAAGGGTGGGGGAGGGGCAGGGGCTACAGTGACCCTAGGCCCTAGGAGCTCACGATCCCTCCTTCCTTCCCAATGCAGCAGCCAAGAGTTTACTCAACAAGAAAGCAGATGGAGTCAAGGTGAGGCACCAACTAAGCCCTTTGTTGGGTACAGGGGAGGATGCCAGAACCTGCAGCACTGCCGCTGACCTCAAGGTTCTAGCTTGAGAAGCCATGCTCCCACAGATGCTGGGGCAGGGAGGGTCCCTTTTCTTCCCTAGTGACTCTTCTCCCCTCTCTCCACAGCCACAGACAAACAGCACCAAAAACAGCTCGGCCATCACCAGCCCCAAAGGATCCCTCCCTCCTGCTGCCCTGGTACTGAGCCCCCGCCCCTGCCTCATCCCACTGACAGAGAGGCCTTGCAAGGCAGGGTCTGGTGTGACTGCCTGTCTCTGGAGACAGAACAGAATGGCAAGGAATAGGGTTGTGAATCCCAAGAGGAGAAGCCACGTGGGGTCGGGGGGCTCCAGATCAAGCAGGTGCAAGACTGCTTAATGAGCCCTTCTCTGGGACCTTGAGGTACCCAGGTGCTAGAGAGAGATATGGCTTCCCAGCTGTGGTGACTTCTGGACCACCCTGCCTCAAGAAGCTCTAATAAAAGGCCATCAGGATGCCACTGAGGGGGAAGGCCAGTGACCTGCTGTGGATACCTGTCCTCTTCAAGGCCCTCACCTCGTACAGCTGTCCAATCTAGCTTAGAGGGGCCCAGGCTGGGATCTTGAGGGATTGTGCCCTGGAGTATTGCATCCTGAGTTATGAGGAGCAGCAGGGCCATGGTGGTGGGATGGAGGTATGTGGTTGAAGGAACAGTGGACTTGTCCATCTGGGACTGTTGTTCTCAAAGCCGTATACCATATTGGTCTGTGAATTACAGAGAAGGAAGCTTGGGGACCCCTGCTGAGGAAGGATGAGAGTATCCATGATACCCCTACTATATTCTTTCTTATTCCTTGAGAAGGCACTAGGCCAACTCTGTCCTCTGTCCCCCTTGCCCTGGGTGACTTGTTCAGGTGAACATCACATTCCCAGGGCTGTGGAGCCGTGGTCTCAGGCACCGGCCTTCTGAGCTGGGTCGTGGGTCTGGAGTTTGAAGTAGTATGTTTGGTATCCCCTTGATATCCAGGCAGGTGTTGCCCATAGGAAATCTGGTTTTGCCAAATAAGGGGAGCACAGAAGAGCTCATCCTGGCTGGAGTCGGGGAGTCGCTCAGAGCAGTGGGGCTATGGTAGGAGGGTGCCAGGCGTCAGCTCACCTGGTGCCAGGGGTGGCTCACACCGGCCTCACAGCCAGCCCCACCTTGGACCCCGTCCATCCCATGTGCCAACCCCCACAACATCTCTAATCCTGTGCCCGCTTCCGTGCTGGGGCAGGAGGTGGGGAGAACTCCCAGAGCCCACACACATCTACAGTTTCTCTCAGGCCCTGTGAACTCCATCTTTCCTGGCCTCTGGCCTGGCAGATCTGCTGGTTCCATCCTGTTGGGCCTACTCTACACCCACCCAGGGCCATTGCCGACCACCTGCTGCCTCCATCCCTACTGGGCCATCTTGCTGACCGCCTGCCTCCTCCATCCCTGTCCCTCTGCTCTACACTCTCTCTGGGCAGACCCTGGTCGCCGCCCACTCCTCTGGCTCCCTGGCTCCCCATCCTCTGCTTCCTTCTTTCTCACTCTCCCTCTCTCTCTTTCCTTCCTCTGTCTGCCGCCCTCTATAGGAGCCTCAAACCACCGTTATCCATAACCCAGTGGACGGGATTAAGGTACTGCCGCCACCTCACTCCTCACCCTTTCCTTGGGCAGGAGGTATGGGCCCAGGAGGAGGGTGTGGACGGTGACCTGGGAGAAGCATTTGTGCCTATGATAGAGAGCAGATGTGTAGTGACCTGACCCCGAAGGTAGGGCAGAGCCCACAAGCCTACCTGCCTGGGGCCGTGGCAGGACCCAATGACGCCACTGCAGAGTGCTCACACAGCTTCCAGAGTGCCACCTGCTGCAGGCCTTGGGGTCGGTCTGCTTCTTGGGAGCCTCGTCTCTGCTCCTTGACTCTTCTCCACCTTCACCCCCCAGTGTGGCCCTGGCGCTTCCTGCTCCTCTCTGCTCTGCCATCTGCTCCCATCACATTGGCATCATCACCTGGGGCCGGGAGGGGCTGGCTTTCTGTGAGGTGGGAGAGATGGGCAGGTGTCGGAACCATCTACAGTACAGCAACTGGGCTGGGCTGGCGGGTCAGACACACCCAGGCTTGATCACACAAGGTGACATGGTGGGTACCTCCCTTTCTTAGGCCAGAATCTGCACCTGGCCCTTCTCCATGCCAGGGACCAAGGGCAGCTAGATATGCCCATGGTTCTAAACACCAAATGTCTGTTTTCCTCCCACCTGAGTGACTGGTACCCTTTTCAGCCCTCATGTCAGGTGAGGTCGTACTCTCCTCTGAGGGACTACTAGTCAACCGACGGGCTGGGGTAAGGCCTGACCTTATATTTGAAGGCCTCCAGTTTTGTCCCAGAGCCACGTTCAGTCAATGTCTGTACCAGAGACCTGTGAGGTTTCTTTGGTTTTCTGGGGACATGTTGGCATAGAGGTGCTCAGAAGTCAGCCGCCACTTGAAGGTGGTAGACGCTGGGCCTTGCTGAAGTTCCAGGCCTAGGTGGGACAGTGGCATTAGGGATCTCATCTCTTCTGGGGGAAGATATCCCTCCCCTAAAAGCTGCTAACCACATCTGCCCACTGCCCAGGTTTCGGGGCCTTCCATCACTAAAAGACAGTCAAGCCCCATGTTTTTCCATCTTGGGATTTCAAAAGGTCTGCTCTTGGAGTCAGCTGAGTGTCTCAAAGTCTCTTGGGGAAGGTGACGTTGAAGCCCTTGCTGTTGGAAATGTGGTGGCCTGCAGGGGACAGAATGAGCCCTGGTGTGAAAGCCCTCCTGAGAACATACACAGCTCGACCTTTCTCCCCAATCACTGGGAGGATCTGTCTCCTGAAATCATCAGGACTAGCCAGGCAGAGGTCCTACCTGGAAGCCAGGCTAACTCCACCACTGGAGGTGTCCTGCCTGCCCTTGGCCACATCTTGACCCCTGTCTCTCTGTTTCCTCAGGAGTCTTCCGACAGCACCAACACAACCATAGAGGATGAAGATGCCAAAGGTACCTTCACAGAGGCCTTGCCTGGTCATGCTGGGCCGTGGGTTGGCAGGGGGCGGGCCTTCTGCAGCATCTCTGCTCTTGCCGTGTGGTACAGTGGTTCAGAGGCCTGCTGTCAAGGCCTGTCTGGTGTGAGTCAAAGCAAGTTTGGGACATCGTGGCTGGGGTATCTCAGGCATAGTGCACATGCGAGGAAGCCACAGTCCTGGGAGCCAGGAACTCGGTTCTCACAGGGTATGAAGTATGTGGGTGATGTTTATCAAGATGCCGTTCTTTTGCGTTCCCTAAGCTTTGGTTCTGTTCAGTTTGCCAGTGAGTGGCCAGGTAGCAGAAGTGTTGTTTCCTTTGATGACTCAGGAGCTCCCTCTTCAGGTGGGCTTCTGTGCCACACCCTGAGCCCTGCCCATGATATGTGTTCTCACAGATGTCCCTAGGACACCTGCTATCAGTGAGAGGCCGCCCAGCCTCTCCCACTTTCTCTGCTCCCCCCACCCTCCGCCCCCCGGAACGAGGTCTGACAGCTCCAGGCTGTCCATGGAGCCCTAACCTGTCCTTAGGATGGCCCCTTAGGACGGTCAGAGTTTCCCCTTTGCTCCTGGACAGCTGCAAGGCTGTCCCCAAGTGTCCTCCACGCTCCAGAGTGGACATGAGCACAGGACATTGGTCCTTGAACCCAGGAGAGTACACTTCCCTACAAGCTGAAGCAGGACCCAGAGTCAGCAGCGTGGATTCTACCCATACCTCCATGCCAAAGGTTCTGTCCTTGAGCTGGCCCGTGGGACACTGAGCTATGAGGGAGGTGGGTGAGCCTCATGTTTGCAAGGGGACAGGAGCAGCAGGCCAGCAGCAGATGAGGCCGGGCGTTAAAGCAGGAGCCAGGGTCGGGGAAGCCTCGGGAATGAAGGGCAGAGGCACTCTCTCCCCAGCCAGGGGCCAGAGCTGGGACAGAGCCAGGACAGTTCCCAAGGCCACCGTGCTCAGGGAGGACCACCCAACAGTTCTGGCCCAACCTTGGCAGGACCTGGCATGGGCCCACAATAGACTTCTAACACCTATGGGTGCCCCCAAGAGTGACCTCCTCACCTCTGTCCCCTAGGTCCCTGGCAGTGGCCTGGGACTCTACTACACCTGTAACCTTTTCAGCTGTCCTGTGCCTCTTGGCTCTTTCTGTCACGTTCTGTCTTGAGTGTCTGCCATCCACGGCTTGCTTCTGTTCTGCCTCAGCCCCCAGGGTCCCTGATGTCCTGAGCTTGGTGAGGAGGGGCTCAGGAGCCCCAGAAGCCGAGGGCCCCCTGTCCTGCCCATCTCCAGTTCCCATTAGTCCCCTTCCAGCCCCGTGTAAGTAGCCTGGGCCCCGCTGCTGTGGGGATGACTTTGAAGGGCCTGGCAACTCTCTGAGGGAACATTCAGGGCCAAGGACTGGACAGGCCTGGATTCCTGGCTCTAGCCCTACCCTCACACAGCCCCCAGACTGGGGCTCCCCATGGCTGCCTCTGTCCAGCCAGAGGCCTCTCTTGGCCTGTGGGGATGCTGTCGTAGCCTACTTTCCTGCTCATGGACACTAGATGATCCCTGAAGAATTTGGCCTTGACTTCTAGGCCTCCAGGGCCCACCCAAACCTCCCTCTACCCCACCTCTGGAGGTTTCTTGCTTCTAAGACTGGAAGCCAGGTCCCGGATTCCCTTGTGGTGAGAACAGGGACCCGTCTTGCCTGTCCTGTCAATTCTGTCTCCTCATATGTCTGTCTGCCTTGTGTTCATGTGTGTCTGTTCCACCCCAGCCCCCAGGATCTCTGACATCCTGAGCTCGGTGAGAAGGGGCTGTGGAACCCCAGAAGCTGAGGGACCCCTATCAGTGGGGCCCCCACCCTGCTTGTCTCCGGGTCTCCTAGGCCCCCTGCCCACCCCGTGTAAGTAGTAGCCCCGCAGGTTTGTGCCTCTGCTGCCAAAGGCTCTGTGAGAATGGCCAGTGCTCAGCTTCCTGCACCTGTCATGCACGGCCCAGCTCCCCCAGACCAGGGTGCCTGATGGGTGTCCAGTCTGCCTGGCCTTGTTCAAGGCCCATGCGTTAACACAGCTGGGCAGCTACCTGGCTTCTCCTCCTGGGCCCAGCAGCACCTCCGACTCCTCTCCTCCCCTTCCTCCTTTCCTGCACGCCGCTCACCTCACTTCATCTCAGGCCCACCCCCCCGCGCAGTGATTAGCTGGGGTCCCTCAGACCATCTCTGCCAAGAATTTTCTAGCCACTCACACTCTACCCTGCCCTGGTCACGGTGCCCCAGAGCCTGTCTTCAGAGCAGCCCCTGATTCTTGATGTACTCTGTCCCTGAACGCCATTCACTAACCAAGGCAGGGGAGGTCAGGGAAGGTGTCAGGATGGGAACCTCAACGAGGGCCTTGTAGGTAAGGAGACATTCAGAAGAGGAGCCTGGCTTTCCACTGGCCTGGCCCCACATGGGCCAAAACAGTGCCTCCTTCTGAACATCCCTCCTCCCCTCCATCCACTCCTCTACCCACCTGTTAAGGACTTCTCAAACATCAGTCACTTGCAGCGACAGCCTCTGGCTTCTTGGGGGCCAGGCTGCCTCTCCTTGGAGGGTATCCTCTGCCCTCGGTGGCTTCCAGCTCAGCACACTAGAATGGACACAAGTATCTGCACTCCCGATGCCTCCTTCCACACCCCGCTCTGGCCTCCCCCGTCCCCTGTGTCCCCGGGACTCCTGGTGCGCTCACATCTCCCTCTGGCCTCCCCTACTGTCTGGCTTGGCTCTCTATAGGTTTCTTACCTGCATGTTCCTCCCACCTGTATTCATGTGTCTGTTCTGCCCCAGCCCCCAGGATCTCTGACATCCTCAACTCAGTGAGGCGGGGCTCAGGGACCCCAGAAGCTGAGGGCCTCCCACCAGTGGGCCCCCCACCCTGCCCATCTCCGACTCTCCCTGGCCCCTTGCCCACCCCATGTAAGTAGCACTTTAGTGGCCCTGACAGCTCCATGGAGGAGCAAGCCCCCATTGTGGGGTGTGGCCAGCCAGCCTGACTCTGGGAATAACCCAGCTTGTGGAGATATGGGGGGCACAGCATCTGCCAGGTCACAAGAAATCATGTCGAAGTCCGTGAAGAAAGCAGTGGGTTCAGTCAATGCAGATTATGGACATGAAGTGTGTGTGTGTGTGTGTGTGTGTGTGTGAGCTCATGTACTCGGGAAAGCTCCCAAAACACTTTACTGACCTGGAGTCCTCGCTACCATGCCGCCACCACATTCTGGTCGAAGATGGTGGTGAGCAGGTGCCCACCAGTGCATGAGGAACCCTCGCGAAAGGGCTGTCTGGGTGAGAGTAGACCTTCCTGGACAAGATGACAGGAAAAGACGCTCCTGGGAATTCTGGCATGCTGGTGGCCGGGCTGGACGTGGGTCAGGGGGGGAGGGGGCGTGCAGCCAGGGCTAAGACGAGTTAGGAAGAGAGGAAGCACAGGCAGGTGGCTGGCTCTTCGGCTTGTCTGTCGACTGTCCGCCAGTATCACTTACAGGGATGGATGACATCCAGGGCTGTAGCCACCGCTGCCCCCGCCTCCGGGGAGACACGGGGCTGGGGGTGGTGCTGAGATGTTTTCAGAGAAGAGGCTGCTGGGCCAGGGCCTCGGCATGGCAGGGCAGTGGCTGGGTGAGTAGCTATGAGAGGTGGGCTTGGGGTGTCCTACCCCATCACCTCTGCCCGTTAGGGCCGGAGTGGGGGGATGTTGCAGGTGGCCACAGCACAGAGGCGGCCACAGTGGCCCATAAGGGTGGGTATCCACGGTTTGCAGTTCAGAGGGGTAAGGGGCAGCCTCCGGAGGGCATGAACCCCCTAGAGCATTCCATGGTCAGTTGAGGGGATGAGCTGTGAGGAGCTCAGCCAGGTTATTTCTGGTGATGGAGTAAGGCGGCAGGGTCCAGGGTGGAAGTAGCCAGTACTCACAAAGTGTGGAGGGGATGCTCTTCACTGCTGGGTGCAAGACAGCTTCTCAAAGGTCACACTGTTTTTGTTGGGGATTGGCCTGGAACATGATCTGCCATGGGGGGGGGGGGGTCTGTGCAATGATCAGACACTTGCTCGTCTGTGGGGAGCACCAAGTAACCACATCACTTTAGAGGCTATGACACCGATCTGCCTTTGTAAGGTCTATGCTGAGCGTGGCTAGGGAAAGGGGTCCTTCATGAGGGGGCTGTGATAATGACTGGATGGTGACATCTGGTCATCCTGTGAGGGGCTGGACAGAAGAAAAAAATAGACATTCAGCCAAATGTAGGGAAATGTGGGTGACGTCAGATGGTATTGGGCCCCTCTTTCCTGGGAGGGTTACAACCCACCAACTAGGTTACAGGTTCCAGTCAGCCCTCTTCAGGCTCAAGCCCCTCCCCACCTCATGCTCTCTGTACCCCAGGCCTCACTTCCTAATCAGGGATTACATAGGATTCAGGCTGATCCCGGCTGATCCCTAGTCAGCTGCCCTGCCTGCAAGCTGGGAGGGCGGGGGCTTCGGGCCAGTGGGAGGGACACAGACTTTCACTGGTCTCACCCAGATACCCTCAGCCTCCCACAGGAGAGCTGTGGACAGTGAGTCCAAACCCTGCCCTCCCCTTTGGCTTCTTCCCTGGACTTGCAGGGTAGAGGGGCAGCTTGTCCTTGGTCTCAGGCACTCCACCAGGGTTATCCCTGTATTCAGGGCTTCTTGGTCCTCCCTTCATGTTTGACTTCCACTGGTGTCTGGGCAGCAGCCATTCTGCAGGTCAGGAGGTGTCCAGGTCCCGTTCCTAGACAGCCTCAGCTTTTCTAGCTGTCAAATGGGCCAGTGGCTCTCACAGGAATGCTGTTCCCAAACTCCAGCACATTCTGACTGGTGCTGTGATTATGGATCTCCCCTTAGTGTATTTAACATTGACTCCCGCAGCCTAACTTCATTAAATGGAAAATTAGTCCACTTACCACAGTGGAAGGTAGACTCAAAGCATGCTTGGAACCAAGTGGTAATGTTACTTCGTTCTAGCCACTTTTGCCGTGTGCTGAGGGACTCCTATAGAGGAACAGGGCAGCTGAACCTATTAAAAAGGGGTTAACAAGCCCCAGGGGATACTTGGGACATGTGGACATGTGGAAGCCTGGGTTTGGGGAAGGAGCTGGCTGCAAGTGTAGAAGCCAGGCCAGAAACCTGTGACATCTCCAGAAGGAGCAAATGTGAAGAGATGTGAGGTGCAGAGAATGATGGACATTGGGAAGAGTAGGTACTGCTTTGGGGACTGAAGTATCAGATGCTGCCCTGGGACCCAAAAGGTAAGGGCACGAAAAGCTGTTGTGTGTCTAGGACAGAGCCTTGGTACTCTCGCAGAGTGGGGCACATAGGTGTGTGGTTAGGAAGGGGAACAGGAAGGAAGGGGGCTCTGGTGCTCATAGCCCACCACCTAGAGTCAGCATTCCAGAGGGACCTTGTTGTTAGAGGGGGTGAGCAATAGTGATGACCTTTCCCTGAGTTCAAATGGTGATATGACTTAGACTCAAGAACAGAGAAGAAACTGAAGCAAGATAGCACAAGAGGAGCTGGGTTAGGACAGGACATTTTTCCAAGCTGGGGGAATCCCATGGGTACACATGCATACACCGACACATGCTCACACAGCATGCATATACACAACATGAGGACACTTCCCATGCATTTCACAAACAAATGTGTATGCATGCATACATGCACACATCTACACGATACTCATATTGACACTCGTGTGTGCCTTCTCATGTACATGCAAATATTCATACTCATAAACCGCATGGGCGTGTACACATTGTGCTGTGGATTCCACATACATTCCATATGCTCTTACATGAGTGCACCTAAGTCCCCAAGGGGCCATCCAGCAACTTCTGCAATCACAGCTCCTGTTCACAAGGAGATGCAGATATCCTTGTGCTGGCACACACATGGCATAGATGGACTTCCTGTGAAGCAGGCAGCCTCTGTGGTGGACTCAGCCCTCCTTCAGGGCACCCGATGGGGTGGGCACCCAGACACCCCCTGGTTCCAGAAGCCCTGCCACAGGGTTGTTCTCTGTACTTTCATGCTTTAAATTCTTCATGGTTAAAAGGTTCATCTCAAAGCCAAGGCCTAGTGCTCAGGAGAAGCAATGGACCGGAAGGCTGCAGACACAAGGGAGGGTTTTGCTAGGACAGCACATAGCCCAGGGCTACAAGCAGGTTAGAGGCTGGGAAACCAATAGAGTGATGAGAAACAACTTGACCTTTCTGAAGAGTCCCAGGCCATCCTTTGATTCAGTCTTTGCTACCCTCACCCCCACCCCTACTCCTGTCCAAGGAACCCTGCAGCCTATGACCACACCCACTGAGTAAGCTGTGGGATGAAGGAGTCATTAAGTGAAGGAGGCTGCTAGAAGGTGAGGCAGAAGAACAGGCCAGGGGAGAGGCTGAACAGGAGCCTAGCAGTTATGACTAGAGGATGCTGGGAGGTGACAATGGAGTGGGCTATGGGCAGGCTTATTCCCCTTTCTGCATTTTTTTAGACCTTTTTTTTTTTTGGTTTTTTGAGGCAGGGTTTCTCCGTGTAGTTTTGGTGCCTGTCCTGAATCTCGCTCAGTAGACCAGGCTGGCCTCGAACTCACAGAGATCCTCCTGGCTCTGCCTTTCGAGGGCTGGGATTAAAGGAGTGTGCCACTGCTGCCCGGCTATAGACATTTTCTAATCTGGATAGGGTATTTGCTTCTTAAAAGTACTTCATTTGATGAGAAGCTATTGCACGTGGGGATGAGGAAGCCATTGGTGGCACGGGAGGGACCCTTGTGATGGGGACAATTTGGGTACAGGTGCCAGAGACTGGAAGTCCTTTCTAAAGAGGACAGACCTGAGCCGGGGTGGGAGCCGCTGTGTGGATGCTACTTGCAGCTCTCAATTCTCCAAGGCCCCTTACCTGGGCTCTGCTGGGGCGGGGGATATCCAAGGATGGGACAGGCTAGTGTCTAGTGGTCATCCCTGTTCTCTCCCTGCAGCCCGGAAGCAGGAAATCATCAAGACCACAGAGCAGCTCATTGAGGCAGTCAACAACGGCGACTTTGAGGCCTATGCGTGAGTCTCCCGGGGGGTTGGGGTGGGGGGTTGTGGCGGGTGAGGCTGGAGGATGGGGCCCCTCCTCACTTGGGTTTGCCCCCCAGGAAAATCTGTGACCCAGGCCTGACCTCATTTGAGCCTGAAGCTCTGGGCAACCTAGTCGAAGGGATGGATTTCCACAGATTCTACTTCGAGAACCGTGAGTGAGGAAGTCGGGGTGGCCATGAGGGGCAGACACCATCAGGAGGATCCCTTCACCCCTCAGTCAGGGGAAGGGCTGTGGCAGCCCCCATGAAGGGGATTCCAGGTGGGAGGGGTGGGAGGGGTCTGTACCTGGCGCTGACAGTTCAGGATACCTGCCTGTCCACAGTGCTGGCCAAGAACAGCAAGCCGATCCACACCACCATCCTGAACCCGCACGTGCACGTCATCGGTGAGGATGCAGCCTGCATCGCCTACATCCGCCTCACACAGTACATCGATGGCCAGGGCCGGCCCCGCACCAGCCAGTCCGAAGAGACCCGCGTGTGGCACCGCCGTGATGGCAAGTGGCAGAATGTACATTTCCACTGCTCGGGCGCTCCCGTGGCCCCACTGCAGTGAGGTGAGTACCTGGGGTGTGGCCAGACAGAATGTGGGGTGCTCGGACAGGTGAGCTGATAAAGCCAGAACCGCCGCACAAGCCCGAGTTCGGTGGGTCGGGGATGGAGTCAGGGATCAGGGTGGGTCCTGAGCCCTGCTCACTGTAACTCTTAGCACCCACCCAGGGGCTGCCTAGGTAACGGGTGAAGGTAGCAACTGCCTGTCCTTGCAGGTCCCTTCCTGAAGGGGCATTAACTGGATGGCTTCCTGCCAGGCCCTTTTCCAAGTAGCAAAGGCTTGGGTCCTCAGGGTGGGGGTGCTGGTCTGAGGAAGGTGACCTGCCCTCCTGTTTCAGAGCTGCGCCTGGTTTCACCGGACAGAGTTGGTGTTTGGAGCCCAGCCGCCCTCGGGCGCACGGCCTGCCTGTAGCATGTTTGTGTCTGCCTCGTCCCCTCCCCTGGTGCCTGTGTCTGCAGAAAAACAAGACCAGATGTGATTTGTTTTTAAAAATAAGATGACAACAACAACCACACGCAAAAAAAAAAAAAAGAAAAAAAGAAAAAAAAAGAGAAAAAAAAGAAAAAAGAAAAAAATTGGCATCGGATGAAATGGAAAAACAAAAAAACTAAAGAAAGGAAAAAGCTGTAAAAAATCTGGCATTTGTGGGGCCACCCCCCACCCAAGCTCCACACGTGTCTGTCGTGCTCCTGGCTTTGGGGACCCTCAGGGCGTGAATGTGCCCGTGCTGACCGTGTTAGTCTGTAGGTACCGCACTCACCCCACACCTTGGGCGTCTGCATCCTCCCTCCCATGCATGGGCCCCATGCTAAGCTGCCTGTTGTGGTGTCGGTGTCTTGGGAAGGGCTGGGGGCTGCCTCCTTACCTGCTAGTTGTGCCTGAAGAGTTGCCGCTGTTCCTGCTTCCCGGGCCGCCGTCCCTCATCCTGTGAAGGGCTGGGTGGGTGCCCCTCTAGCCAAGGACCTACCTTCGCCCCGTGGAGTGTGTCGAAGCTTGTCCTTGAGGTCACCGGAGAACCTGGGCTCTCAGCTCTGGTTCTTTGGGGAGTGAGGTGTGGAGGTGCCGCCTTGCCTCCAGGCCTCGTGCCCGGCAAGGGTTGGTTGAGAAGGCATGTATTGCCTGACCACCTGGCTATGAAGAGAGGACTGGGCCAGAGGATGGCCTCCTTCCTGTTTGGGGCACTTGGTCCTTCCCTGCCACCAGCAGCAGAGCAACAGTGGCCCACCCCTGGCCTGGGCAGTTCCTTTCTGTGAAGTTGGCAGCAGACCCACCAAGGACTGAGGACCTGAAATACTGGACGGATGCTGGGAGCGGGCCAGACCGCGTCTAGGGTGTTTGCCCACTGAGCTTGGAGTCTGGGTGCTCGAGTCTTGGTTGAATGATGCAGAATGTGGTAAAGAGGGACCAGATGATGGGTTCTAGGCTCCGGGCAATGCAGGTCCACACAGGTGTTTGATGAAGTAGGAGTGCTCTCCTAACCTGGGCCTAGAACTGAAGCCAGAGCAGAGCCAGCCGGGGGCACATGCAAGGACAAAATTGGTTAGGGCTGTGTTGTGTGAGGCCCTTCCAGGTGGGCCAGAGACAGCCTAGAGAGAAGGCAGGCTGGGGGTAGAGATTTATGGGCGTGGGGCCTGGATACCAATGGGTGGAAGGGGGGTCCATTAGGACAGTGTGCCGCCTCCAGGGCCCAGTGGTGCTCCTAGGTGCCGGCTGTTTATTGTGGGTGGCCCTGGCCCTTGGTGATAGAGGGGATCACAAGGCTGGAAACATTGCAGAGTCAGGCTAGGGAGAAAGGTATGAAGCCGTGTTGGGTGGGAGTGGTCAGGAGCTTTGATTGCAGAAGTCCAAGGGCCTCCACCCCAGTGCTGCCCACTTCAAATTCACATCATTTTCAACCAGGATTTTCTTTATCTTCTACTACAAATCAAGCCAGGGGAGGGGCATGAAGTGGGGGACGGGACACAGGATCCTAAACTCCAAGGGGACTGTCCACCTACAGACACTCAGTGGATATCACCTGTCATCCACACTGTGCCCAGGACAGCTGTCTCCTACCCATGGACACAGGGTAAACATCTGCCAGGCTCCACTTGAGTGGCCCAAGGCCATGGAGTGGCAGGGCTTGCCACGGACAGTGTGAGGCCCTGTGACCAGCCCACCCTGGCATCCTGGGGTCCCCTTTCCTCTCCCCACCCACCTTGTTATCTCCACAAAGCTGCCTGTCTGGGATAATTTGGGGATTTTTTTTTTTTCTGGGGGACAATTCTTTTGCATGACCCTCTAAAGAGCAGGTCACTCCTGCTCTGCTGGCTAGGTGTTCGCGGGCGGTGGCGTCGGCCGCTGGCTGGTACTGCAGCATGTCACTGCCTGCAGTACTGGCAGCCCTCCTCTTCTCTTTTTGCTGAGTTCCATTGTCTTTTCTTTCTGAGCCTTGTAGGTGTACAAAATTTATTCTTATTTTGTTCTGTCTCGGGAAACTGCAAATAAAAAAAAAAAAAAAGAAGACAACCTGCTTCAAGTAGAGCTGAGTGCTGTGTGCTGGGACCCTGCTGGACAATACAGACCCATCTGCTCCCTAGCCTAGACGTGGTCAGTGAGGGACATGGGGTCCTAAGCCCCTTTTGGGGATCAGTGAGGCATAGCCTTCTCTTTATCCCTTAGTGCCTCCAGCCCCAAAGCCCTGTCCTTGCCCGTCATCCCAGTCACCAGAAGGGTGGCCTCCAGAAAGGGCACTGTGCAGGGCGGAGTCCCAAGTCCAAGATCCAAGTGTCCTCTTGAGTTCCTTTCATGACCTTCCTATGATATGTTGACTGTTCTAGACATGAAGTCATGTGTTAAGTACCCCCCAACGCCGTTCCCATGGGCTATGTAGACAACACAGCACAGCATTTACATGGTAACCATCATGGGTGGTATCAAGAGTCTTAGCAGAGACGCTCAACCTGGAGCCCAAGTCAGAGATCTTAACAAAGAGCAGACACTCCAAGAGTCAGAACAAAGACCATGGTCAGGTGCTGGGGTCTCTGGGCCAACTCCGTTGTGGCTGCAACGCAGAGAAGCCCCCTCCCCAGGCTTTGCATAGGGCAGATCTTTCCCTGTAATCTGTGCTGGTCCTGTCCTGTCTTCAAGCTTTGCTCAAAAGCCTGCTAATATGAGCCCCTATACCTCCAGTCCTATCCACTAGGAGCAGAAGGCCCAAGGGGTCCAGAACTGGCCAGCACTCCCAACTGCCTCTTCCATCCAAGCATGTTTTGAGACACATTCACTTTGTAAAGGAGGCCATTGATGTCTACCTCGTGGTCTCTGTGGGCTACACCTGGGGAGGTGCTTTCGGTAGATGGGCAGGCAGGCAGTAGGTCTCGAAAGCTCATACAAGGAATCTAGGCCAGTGTCCACAGGTGCAGCAGCAATGGGCCCTCTGTCTAGGGTTCCAGTCACCTATCAGCTGTAATCGGAGGAGCGTTTCCAGGCCAGGCCTCCCTCAGGAAGGCAGCAAGCTGCAGAGCGAGCCTCCACCATGCATTATTCCTGAAGCCTTTCTGGGGATGTTGGACAGCAGGGCCGTGCTGACAGGGTTTTCAAGGCAGTATCCAGGGGTAACCATCCCGTATGGGGCTGAGTACTACAGGCAAGAGGGACACTCCTGAAGAACGTTTCACTCATCATTTTTAAACAGCACTTACTTAGAGCTTAGGCATCTGTCCCCCAGGAAGGCTCAGGTTACTCTGAACTCTACTAGGTCCACAGACCAGGAAAAGGTAGCACACTGGATCCAGGGCTGCTTGCCCAAGCCACATAGAGGGGTCTGTGACAAGGACATCAAGCACAGGCTGAAAGCCAGGCCTAGTTGACCTTCTGAGACAGAGGCCACAGACGCCTCAGGCCACTAATTGCTAGCCACTGGGGCCATTCCAAAACTCAAAACCACACTCCAGATTTGAATATTCCCATCCTGACCCTCACAAGTTAGCTGTGTCCCTCGGGTCAGGAGTCCTCACAAACCCTGGAAAGCTAGGTGGCTTGGAGCCAGCCTACACTGAATGGGAAACTTGGGCAAAATAAAGCCTCGTTTCCAGGGCTCTATTGCTAAGAGGCAGCTCTCCCGGGCAAATTCTCCAGTGTGCAGAGAACTGGGTTCTGAGATGGCAAGGCTACTCCAGAGCTCCCTCACCTGGTTAACAGCAAACAAGGAAACAGGATTCCTACCACAACGGCCTGGAGGTTTATCTGGGACAGGATCCTAGTACCTGCAGGAACGAAGTACAATATCTCCCCACTCCTCAGTGGCTGGGTTGGGGACAGAGTTAAAAGTAACAAGAGATAGTACTGGAATTTCAAAAGACAATTTTATTGAGACAGAAACTTTCAAACAGAACAGAGAAATTAGGCATTATTAAAATACACTTTTGCCAAGTGATTTAACATTAGAATAATGGGGGATGGGAAACACATGGCAACTCAATCCATTGCAGGGCGAGTGATACCCTGTAGGACAGCCATATGTGGGCAAAGGTTACCTCTTTCCCACAAACGTCTACCTCCACCCACCCCCATTCTTCCTCAGCACCCTCCAGAGTAAGAAGAAAAACAGGCAGCACTCCAGGCCATTTACTCCACCTTGAGTGCCAGCAAGACTGGACCTGTGCTGTCTGGGGGCCCTGGGATGGCGAGGTCTATGGCAGCAGAAAATGATATGGGCAGGCCACTCCAGGGCAGAGCCTGAGCCCTTTGACTAGCAGTACCCAGAGAAATAGGCAGACACCAGTAAGGAAGGATTTTGGAAGCCATAGTAGACACCCCACCCCCCATGGGCACTCTGAGGGTAGCTCAACAGGCTGCGGGATCATCAGAGTAAGACAACTCTGGTTCAAAACTCAGAGACACTAGCATCCCAGCGGTTGTTTCTGGGGAGACAGGATCTCACGATATACTCTGTGCACAGCAGAACATGAAGAGGCAATGTGAGACCCAGCACATCCTGGGTTCACCACAGACTGTGCTGGCAGTGGGTGCTAGCTCAGACCAACCCCTCAACCTCCTCTACCCTGCAGCTGTCTCTGACTGGAATGGGGGTTGTAGGTCAGAGCTGGACAGACCACAGGTGAGTGCTGGGAATCTTCGGGCTGCTGGCACCTGTCCTGGTATCCACAGGAATGACTTGTTCAAACATGCAGGCCCCAAGCAGTTGCCAAGACAGTCTTGTAGACACAGAGACCAATAAACCAGCTCTGAGAGATGACAGCCCCCACTACTTTGATCTTGATGTCCAAAATCCAACTGCAAGTCAAGGTGAGTGCGCCTCCACACTGGACAGCTGAGGGCACCTGTGTCTGTCTGCTTCTTCCCCTGAAGATGGACACTATCAGCTGACCCTCCCAACACCAGAACAGCCCCCAGTCTGAACAGTCTGCTGGCTGATAAAACCACAACTTACACATCTCACCCTTCTCAGCCCATTCTAAGGACCTCACAAGCCATGTTTGTGTTACCAGATAAAGGTACTTAGGATGGGCCCTGTCCCTGGCAGATGCCAATTCTAGCAGACAGGCAAGCCAAACAGGGGAGACCCAGTGACCACTGCCTTTCACAGTCCTGATGCTGGTCATGGTGAGCTTCCCCCAACCCCCAGAGTGCAAGAGAGTAGAATTCCGGAGTGTTCAAACTCTGCCTACCCAGCCCTATCACCCGAGACTCCCTCCCCCCACCCCACTCACTGGAGAGTTAATATTATTAATGCACAAATGAAATCCTAAGTCATACCAAGGATCAGGAAAAAGATTCCTTCCCATAGAGCCTTCCAGGGTTAGCTGAGAATAAGCCCTTCAGCACCTATAAGAGCCACTTACGAGTTTATGGTTTCATTTTCCCAACATTACATCTTTGAGGACCTCAGATTCTGTCCCAAAGTCACAAGCACACATATGAACGTCAATGTTCCCACCCTTAAGTCATCCCCTTCACTCCTCTTGAGAACTTCAAATAAAAACAGCCAGTCAGCCTGGCTCCAGGTCTTCTTCTAGGGTATCGCTTCATCTTCAGGGGCTGTAGTTCTGATGTGACATGACGATCCAGCGCCTGCCTCTGTGGGCTACATCACATGATTGCACAGCATGAATTTTGTTTCCGGGCCTTGAAAGAAAAAAGAAAAAAAAAAAGAGGATGAAGGGTGCTAAGGAGGGCTGGTGGTTCCACTGAGGCAATCAGACAGAGAAAGCAAAGCCAACTTGGCCCTCGAGGCTTCAAAGCAAGCTGCCCACAGCGACACTGCCTCCACTGCTAGTCTGGGCTCTGTACATTTTTTCACACCCCACTGATGCTCTCAATGAATCGATAAAGTTCCGGCTGTCAGACCATGTGTAAGCAACAGCAGCAGCAATGGGAACCGGGTTGCCCGAGGACCTACCTCAGTGCTATCAGATGGCCCTGACGTGTTTCTTTCTGGAGAATGGTCTTTCGAGAAGAAACATGGTTCTGGCTCATGTTTGTAGGGCTGCTATTGTACCTGTTCTTGCTTTCTCATCAAAGGCCACCCTCCTAGCCCTACTGGTCATTTTCCTCCAATATGCAACTCAATGTAAATATGCATGGGCAGATTCGTCTCCACTACTATCCCACAGTGGGCCAAGAATACAATGTTGGGGCTGAGGAGATGGCTCAGCAGTTAAGAGCACTGGCTGCTCTTCCAGGGGATAAGGGTTCAATTCCCAGCACCCACATGGCAGCTGACAACTGTCTCTAACACCAGTTTCAAGGAATTCTATGTCCTCTTCTGGCCTCTATGGGCTTCAGGCATTTATGTGGTATACATACATACATGCAGGCAAAACACCCACACACATTAAACGAAACAGAACAACACAATGTTCACAATTGGAAATTTAAGTAATGCCTGGAGAGAAACTCAGTCAGCAGGAGGAGCCCTGCAATGACAGGGAAATTCGTCAGAGAACTAATGCATTTAGAAAGGGGAGCTGCTGGCTTCTTAAGGACCAATGCCTAACTGCTCTGCCAACAGGGGAGTCAGAATGGGAAGGGGTGCTGCCTCTGAACCCAGCCAGGCAGAGCCTTAGTCAAGTACAATGCCTGAGTGTGAGCTGCCAATCACTGGGCTGAAGCACTTGCTTTAGGCTCCCACATCCCAAGGAGTGGTACCCAAATCCAATCCTGATTAAGTAAAGAGGGCCAGAGAAACACGCTGCAATGGCTCTGTGGGAGGGATACCCGGAGGGAGGGCCAGGCAGCGCTACTCACAGTTTTATAGAAGGCTTTCGACTGTGTTCCCAGTACTTCTGATTTGGATACCAAGTCATCAAGCTTCTCACCTCGCTCTAACAAAGACTCCATGGTGTTATGCTAGACAAAAGAGAGAAGAGAACTCTTGGCTCTGCTCAGTTAAGTGGCTGCTGACAACAGGCCCTTATGGAAGCTGAGTGGCTAGAACTCCCTCCTCTGGGCTCCTACCCAACAGACACCAACAAGCACTGGGACACAGTCCCAGAAGATACCTCCAGTCAAGTCAAGAGCACAGGCAGGGCCTGGGGCTTTCCCACTATTTTTCCCAGCACAGATTCAGACGAGCACTGCTCTAGGAAAGCTTGTATTTGTACTTGTGTGCCGTAAGCACACACGTGCAGAGGTTTCTATGTGAAGAGAAAGACATAGATGAGAACTACACAACTGTGCTAGGATGGACAGTGGCTATCCAAAATTCACATCCGCCCAGAACCTCTGAATGTGACCTCCTTTGGAAATAAGGTCTTTGCAGGTGTCACCCGTTTAAGGTGTGGTGGTGATGGACTAGAGTGGCCACGACTACCTCTTCATCACAACAGAAACGGAGCCCACAGAGAAGACTGTGACGACACAGGAGGACGAAGGCACAGCAGGCAGCGCCAGCAGCCGTCAGGAACCAGAGAAAGGCCTACAGCAGACCCTGTTCACATGGCCCCAGAAGGAAGCAGCCTGCGCAAACTTCACTATCAGACTTCCAGCCTCCTGAGGGAGAACGTACTTCTGTTGTGTGGAGTCATACAGTTTATGGCTCCTCCTTAGCAGCCACAGGAAACTAACATGGTGACAAAGCTGTGTCATCTGACCAGGAGCCAGACAGCTGCCAAGCACTTGAGGTGAGACAGGCCCTAGCATGTTCTTCATGTGCAAACGCAACAGCTTTCAGAGACTCAGGCTCATATGCAAACCACTTCACTAGTAGGACTGGAGAGATGGCTCAGAGGTTAAGAGCACTGGCTCTCTTCCAGAGGACCTGGGTTCGATTCCCAGCACCCACATGGCAGTTCACAACCATCTCTAACTGCAGTCCCAGGTGATTCAATGTCTTCTTCTGGCATCCAAGGGCACTGCACAAATATTGTGGCCAGGCATAACATGCAGGCAAAAACACCCTTACATATAAAATAAAAAATAAAGAAAAAAGTTATAAAAGGAAACACGCACTCGGGAGGCAGAGCCAGGCGGATCTCTGTGAGTTCGAGGCCAGCCTGGGCTACCAAGTGAATCCCAGGAAAGGCACAAAGCTACACAGAGAAACCCTGTCTCGAAAAACCAAAAAAAAAAAAAAAAAAAAAAAAAAAAGGAAACACATTAGTGAATTTTTTATTCTGAAGATAGGGTGGAAAGATTTTGGATATTCTAGATTAAATAACATTACATTTCAATGTTTCCTTTTGTTATTTAAAAATATGGCTCCTTCAAAATTCAGAATTACAGACACAAATCATAAACATGATAGATTAATGCCTACTGGTAGCACCATGACAGGAAACATGACAGAGCTTCAGTCTGTCAGCACTACAATCCTTGCCTTGGGGAAAGAGGACGACAGAGATGGAGCCCTCACAAGAGCAGTGGTCCTGCTGCCTGGCGCATACTCAAGAGCAGCTCATTTCCTTCCCCAGACAGCTACTGCCAGGCAGCTGTACACTTGTGTGCAATGGTATCGATTGAGGAATTATCCAAACTGCCCTTTATTCCTGCACACAGCTGAGCAATTCATGGAACCCGACATGTTAGCCGAAGGCTGGGAATGAATCCAGCTCACTGCAGAAGCTCACCTGGCAGCATACACTAGGCTCACACGGACTCCTAGCTTGGTCCCCTCTAAGTAGAGGTGCTGGGAACTAAGATGGGGTACACAGAGAGTGATGAAGTTTCCTGGAGCAGGCTGTGACTATCATTAAAATAAAAATGGACTTTGTTTGGTCAGTGGCACGTTTCCTCTCCACCTTCCTGCTTACCAGAATGATTTTGGTCTCATCCAGTTCAGCTTGTACTTTACTCATGGGATCAGCTTCTCGGGGGTTCTAGGAACCAGAACAAAAGCAAGACTAAGAACAGAGTCATTACCTATAAACAGAATCAAACCAAGGAAGCTGAACGAACTCTCACAATACAAAGGCTTAGAACAGAGAAATCGAAAGCCTGTCTAGAGCTATATTTCTAAGTCTGAAAGTATTTCTCTGTGCTTTTCAAACGGACAGTTCACCTGTACATCAGCCTTGAACTACCATGGCTACTGACCTTGCCCAGATCACAGAGCTTCTGGGCAGATTCTAGAAGACGTTTCTTTAAACTCACCTGGTATCTACTAAGGTGACTATCCAGGGCTGTGTATTGGATTGTAGCAGGTGATCCTACTGGCCAATCTATCCTATCGACCTGCTTGGAGAATTCATCTAGTACCTGTAAAACAAAGGAGACGCAACGTATCTCCCACCGTGGGCACCAGCACCTTCAGTGACCCAGCTTCACCAACAGCACTCATCCCAAATGAGGCTCCTAGGCTCCCCAGGGTACAAGGCCATCTAATGGCAAGAGAACAGTCTAGGTTCAAGTTCCTCTTTTCAAATGTTTAGGAATAAAACACATCCTAAGTAGTCTAGAAACAAAAGGAAAGTGTGCCCAGCCTAGGGTAAACTTCACCTGGAGAATGATGAAAGTATTCTCATTTTACACTAGTTTTAAACTAGGCCTCTCTAGTTTTCCAAAGTAATTCTTCCAGAAAGTGATCTAGGTTCTTTGGATGTAAGCAACCACCAGATTCCATGTGCCCAGAAGTGTTTAATGCAACGAGGAACAGGACAAGATAGCTTCTGCCTCCAAGTTTACAAGCAGAAGTTATTGGGTACTAAACACCACAGAGTGAGTGGGAATGGGTGCGGTGTGCTGGCACATGCCTTTAACCTCGGTACTCAGGAGACAGAGACAAGTGGAACCCTGAGTTTGAGGCCAACCTGGTCTACATTATGAGTTCTAAGCCAGGCAGGGCTACATAGTAAGACTCTGTCTCAAAAACAAAGCAACAATAAACTCCATGAAGCCACTGACCTACACCAGGGAGAGAACTACAGTGACCGCCTGCAGCAGCAAAAGGAAGAGAACAGAAACCTTCAGGAAAAGCGAAGGGGAGAGGGTGGAGCTGTGCCCTACTCTAGAGGAGAGGTAATGTAACCCAGTGGCAGGAATACAGGTCACATGAAGGGCAGAGTTAGCACCAAGGAGGAAATATATATAGGTAGGGATTTCAAATGTCTCCTGGTTTGGGTGGAAATGATGGCTGAAGATGTGGCCTCTGGACCAGTCATCCCGTGTGCTTCAGGTACTAGGTCTACCATGCTCCATACTTGTCATCTCAGTCTAGTCCAACAACACACTCACCTTCTCCAGCAAGGTAAAGGCCACTCTGGAAGGATATTCGCTGTCAGCAATGACCACACCTGCAAGACTGTCACTCCGGACGTAGACATGGCAAAGATACTCTAAAGAGACAAGAGATCTCACATGTGGCTACTGACAGTTTTGACTCTGCCAATGCATCATAATGCTAGCTCCTGCTTTCTAGGCAAACAAAGCCACTCTGAAACCACTGTGAAACTCAACTGCGCTGAGTAGGGAGGCCTACTGAAAGGCTCTGTACCACAGTTCTATGGGCCATACCCAGGAGCTGACTAATACCCTACGTTCCCTGAGATATGTGTATAATGAGATCGAAATGAGCTGCCAGGAATGGAAAACACACCAGAGGCAATGTCCCTCAGAGCAATTCCAGATCACTGCCTTTAGCTCAGGCCTGGCCTGGCTAAGTCTTAGCAATTTATGGCCCTCGAGGCTCTGTGCTGTTCCTAAATTGAGGGTACACCAGGCAAGACAAGCTACTTCTACTTTCTTAAAATAATTTCTTAAGAGTAGCTGAGAAGCAGAAAATTACCTCCGAGGGCTTCAATCTTCAAACTCCTGTAATAAGACATGGTTTGACCTACTCCAGCCTGTGGTAGGTGGCTAAGAGGAACTGTCTAGAAAAAAATTAGCAAGTCCTGGCTGAGGTCTCTAGTGTTACTGCACTACAGTTGTCATATGATTAAACGGTATGGTTTACAAAAGGCCTCTGCAAAATAATCAGAGTCTACAGGGCTGTTGAGTTTCATCGCTTTGAAAGGTTTCAGAGATGAAATGGCCAACCACATCCCCAGAATAAGAGAACCAAGGATGAGAGCTTACAAATAACAACCTCCACGTTCTAAGGATCTGACCCAGAAGATTCCAGTATTAAACAGAAAGAAAAACAAAAGAGGGAAGGATTTTATGTCCTAGGAATCAGAGAAGGGCAGAGATCAACAAGAACAGAGAGGAGGTGAGATGGAGAATAACCATCTTATTTTGTATCCATTCCCAAATAAGAAAGAACCAAACATGGAGTCAGTTTCCATAGAAACTGAGGAGCTTGCCAGTGTGCGGAACAGTCCTTAAGTGATAAACCAGGAAGGGCAGACAGCACAAAGGAGCGACTGCAGAGACACAATCATGAGTCCTTTTCATTTCTGTGAGAGTCACAGCACAGATATTCATTATGGAGAATATATGGTCATATCACTGACAGCATCTGTGTCTGTGACTCTATCATCAATTCAGGAACTCTATCCTAGGGCTACCGCCTATGTGAGGTTGTTGTATTAGTTAGGGTTTCTTTTGCTGCAATGAAACACCATGACCATAAAGCAAGTTGGGAAGGAAAGGGTTTATTTAGCTTATACTTTCAGATCATAGTCCACCATCGGAGGAAGTCAGAACAAGAACTCAAGCCGGGCTGGAACCTGGAGCCAGGAGCTGATGTAGAGGGCGTGCAAGGGAGCTCCTCACTGGTTTGCTTCCCACAGCTTGCTCAGCCCACCTTTTTATAGAACTCAAGACCACCAGGCCAGGGATGGCTCCTCCCACCATGGGCTGGGCCCTCCCCCACCACTGATGACTAATTGAGAAAATGTCTTACAGCTGGATCTCCTGGAGGCCTGTCCTCACCCGAGGCTCTCTCCTCTCTGAGGACGCTATAACTTGTGGCAAGTTGACACAAAGTCAGCTAGCACAGTCGTCTTTGTTTATGCCTGATGAAATTCATGTAACTTCAAATCTGTTTGTGAAATGTGTGAGTCTAAAATAATGCCCCAAACTGATATCCAAAATCAGAATTATGAAATAAAGGAAAGATTCTGCTCAAAAAACAAACAAACAAACAAAATCCCCACAAAACTTAAGGAACACAGAACACAGTATTACCTCACAAGTGCTAGCTAGAAATCCTCTTTTGAAGTATCTGCAACTCTGGGAGGAAAAGCAGAATGGGAAGGCTGCTTGCTGCTGGTCCAAGAGAATCAGTCCCTGTCACCTCTCAGCCTATGGGAAGGCTGCTGAAGGCCCAGAGTTCAGTCCCTGTCACTTCTCAGCCTATGGGAAGGCTGCTGAGGGCCCAGAGAATCAGTCCCTGTCACCTCTCAGCCTATGGGAAGGCTGCTGATGCCCCAGAGAATCAGTCCCTGTCACCTCTCAGCCTATGGGAAGGCTGCTGAGGCCCCAGAGAATCAGTCCCTATCACCTCTCAGGCTATGGAAAGGCTGCTGAGGGCCCAGAGAATCAGTCCCTGTCACCTCTCAGCCTATGGGAAGGCTGCTGAGGGCCCAGAGACTCAGTTCCTGTCACCTCTCAGCCTATGGGAAAGCTGCTGGCCCCAAAGACTCAGTCCTTGTCACCTCTCAGCCTACAGGCTGCGTCCAGTGAGTCTAATCTTTACTTAGTGGAAGCTAAGCAAGTACAGCTGCATAGTAAGTTTTGTACAGTGAGCTTGGACGTCAACAATGGGTTCAGAATTCTGGATAAATAGGAGGAGCAAGGAGAGGAAACGGGGTAGCAGAAGATTACAGTCCTGGGAGCAATCACATGGTGCAGGTAGCACCATGTGCTGTTTACGGTGTGACAGCCAGGCTGGCACTCAGAAGGTGGTGAGTCCTCTTACCTTGTTCCTTGACAGAGGCTCTGCTGCCTTTTGCCGAGCGTTCCACAATCAGTTGACTTGTAAAGGTCATGAATTCCTGAACACTAGGGAACACAAAACATATTTATAACCTTCTTTCAAGTCACACTGCCCAAGCACAATGGAAGGAGACCTCTGAGGTTCTAAGTTAAGGAGACAGTCATTGCCTCTTAGTTTTTATTTCACTCTCTCCTAACTTTAGAAACAATAATAAACACATTGGATATGAACATAAATGCATATACCACTATTCAAGCCATGTCTGTGTACCAATCGCTTCCAGATAGCTCAGACATTGTCTTTAGGATACAGTCAATTTAACATTTCAATCAAAACATGATTTGGGGTCCAGAGATTTGGCTCTTTAGATACAAGCACCTACTGTCAAATCTGACAACCTGAGTTTGATCCCTGTAACTCACATGGTGGAAGGAGAGAAATGACTTTCCCAAGTTGTTCTCTGACCTCCGTAAGTATCCCATGATGTGCACGCGCGCGCGCACACACACACACACACACACACACACACACACACACACGAAATTAAAATGTGATTGAAATTTTTTAAAAAGCCAACATGCTCAGGACCTAGTGGGAAAGCAGAAAGCAGCTCCTGTACTAGCTTCCAAGAAGCAGGATAAATACACACTGCTCTAGAAAAACACCAGTGGCAGAACCAGTCAGGCAGAAGCACACCAGTTAGTGCTCTGGCCACAGGATAGCCCTGGCTGGGAATGCCACAGACCTACACACTGGGCAAGAGCTTGGCCAGGTCTGCTGATGCCCGAGCACTGTAGAAGGAATGGAAAGAACAGCTTACTTAGTCAAGGAAAGAAGTGGAAACAGCTCATAAAGCTGTAACAGACATTTGTTATGGGCCCAAAGGAGAGCTGTAGACCTGGCCAGAATGGAAGAATTTCAGGTGGTCCAGCCAGAGGACAGATAAGAAACCTTCAACTGGAGATGCATGATAAAGGGCAGCTAGCCCTCAGTAAAAGGGTTGTTTGTTGGTATTTTGAGACAGGGTCTATGTAGCCCTGGCTGTCCTGGAACTCTTACGTAGACCAGGCTGAGAGGTCCACCTGCCTCTGCCTCTTGAGTGCTGAGATCAAAGGTGTGCACCACCATACCTTGCAGTACAGGATTCTTAACTGCAAAATCTGAAGATCTAACTCAGAGATTTCAAGACTTCCTAAGTGTCAGGCAAATTACTGTGCTGACCTCAGTAGTAAAATCAAGTCTGGTGTGATAGTTAAAATGAGTTAATATATGAAAAGCACCTGGTACCTTGCCTGGCACACAATATACTATTATTATCATGAGGGAATGGCATGGTCAAAATAATCACAAAAAATACTCCTTAAATTTTTTCTTAAATTCTCAAGAAAGCCTTTGCAATAGAACTAAAAAGACAATATTTAGAGCAGGGGTACAATCACGTGATTAGGAAGAAGCGCATTAATTGTGAGAGATTATCAAAGACTTCAGTAATCATGTTGGCATGAAAGATGAAAATGAGGGGTCTCACTAGATCGGAACATGTGTCTCTCTGTGTCACCGCTAGTCACCTGAGACTAGCTAATGTAAGGATGCCAAAGAATAAGACAGAGGTACAATAAAAGCTCTGAGAATCTTTCATATAAATAGAAAGGGAAAAAATTAGCCGGGCGGTGGTGGCGCACGCCTTTAATCCCAGCACTCGGGAGGCAGAGCCAGGCGGATCTCTGTGAGTTCCAGGCCAGCCTGGTCTCCAAAGCGAGTTCCAGGAAAGGCGCAAAGCTACAGAGAGAAACCCTGTCTCAAAAAACCAAAAAAAAAGAAAGGGAAAAAATTAAAAGATCAGAGCCAAGTTGGCACCAAAGGTTCCATCAGAGAAAAACACCGTCAAGCACAGAACAGAGGCCAGGGAACATAAAGTAGAGAGGCAGGAAGAACTAGAAGGAGCCAAGAGATGACACAGTGATTCCACTTCTGGGAATCCGCACCACAGAAAACTGTGAGCGGGGTCTCTTTGTGTGTATTCATATTGGTGCACACCTACGTGCAGGTGCCAGTGCACACATGGCACCATTCCTCATAAAACTCAATGTTGTATAGACTTTAAAAGGAAGAAAATGTTGGTATCTGCAGCAACATAGATGAACCTTGGGGCAATTCTGCTAAGTAAAATCAGTGAGACACAAAAAGACAAACAGTATATGATTCCACTTATATCAAGTCTTTAGAATGGTCAAGATCAGAGACAGAACCCAGAAAGGCAGATTTCCCCCAGACTTTGGGGCAAAATGACCACAGGTCCTATGCTATTGGGTCTTTCTCCTTTTATATCTGAAATCACTCTGCCCACTCCCACAAATGGATTGGGTGTCTGGGGCACTTCCAATTAATGCACATCAGACCCCTTTAAAAGCCAATAAGCCCTACAAATTCAATGCTTCCTTCCAAATCAAAAGTGTGGACCCTTCCTGATCACCAAGGCCTAAACACTAAGAAACAGAATATGAGTTTGACTTCTAGCTGGGCCCGACGCCCAATCCTTGAGGGATCAGTGACTTCAGTCATAAAAAGAATGCCTCCATACCTCTCACACGGGTTGTTGGAAAGGGCTCTGACCAGCGGCTCTCAACATGTGGGTCGCAACCCCATCGACAACCCTCTATTTCCAAAAATATTTACATTACTATTCACAACAGTAGAAAAACTACAGTTATGAAATAGCAAGGCAAACAATGTTATGTTGCGGGGGGCGGGCGGGGAATGGTTCATCACAACATGAGGAACTCCATCAAGGGGTCGCAGCGTTAGGAAGGTTGAGAACCACTGGCTTTAACAAACTACCAAGGTGGCTGTTAAGATACCAAACACTCTGGTTAAATCACAGGGTGCGAGGTGGTAGTCAACATACTTATTTCGGGGTCTCGATATCCTACCTCACAACATTCGGAAGTGAACCTGGTCATCCGCACGATTTGCAAGGATTCTTTCTAATCTTTCCACAACAGGGCAATATTGTGGGGTGGCAGGGCCCTTTACCAGGGATGCTGACTCCTTCCCCTCCAGCCCGCCGCCTGAGGCCGTGGCTGGGCTCCGCCTGGGGAGACCTGCCTCCCCGCCCTCCCGGACCCAAACCCGACTCCAGGCCTCCCGGTCCGGCCCCCCGGGCCCGGCCCACTCACCTGGACCTCTGGAAGAAACTGAAGGAAGACACGTCGTACGCGGCTTTGAGCAGCACCGCTTTGGGCTCGCTTTTGTAAAGGACGCTGAGGCTGTACAGCTTCATGGCGCCGCACCTCCGGGCCGCCGGCCGGACCCCAGACCCGCTCCCAGGAGCGCGGCCGCCGTCCTCCAGAACAGCCGCGGCCGGCTGCTGACGGGGCCGCGCCGGCTTCTTCCTCCTGGCTTGGGGGCCCACTTCCGGTTCCGGTCGAGGGGTGCGCTTGACGCTCAACGGAGGCCGGAAGACAGAGCACGCGCGTGCGCGTGCGTGCCTGGGAGAGGCGGGACACGGCCCGGTCCGCGGAGGTCGGTGCCAGCAGGAGCGGTCTCCGCCTGCGTGGCAGTGATTTGGTGTGTTCCCTTCCGGGCCGTGGCGTGGGCCCTGACTGGCGATCCTAGACAGTGCCGCGCCGTGCCGTCGCTTTTACCTCCTCATCCGGTAGACTAGGAACCCATACCTGTCCCTACGCTCTGCTTCTCGGTACACCTTACATGAACCCTCTTCCAAAACAGAGGAGTAAAAGAAAATGTCCTCAATCCCTTCCATTGCAATAATAAACATCAGAAACGTCACTGGCCGTGGCCAGGCCCAGCAGCTCCTGATATGGGCACGCTTGCTCGACCTGCCAAGCGGCCAGATGCTGTCATCCGACCCCATTCACCTGCACGGACACAGTGGCTCTGCGGGCGGCAGATGAGAACCATTTCTGTAGAAAATCGCTTCACCTAAAATTATACAAAATGACCAGGAGGACAGTGGATGGGTGCAAACCACATCGCAGAGAGAGATTTAGGAAATGGTTAGTAAGAGGCAGAGCTGGGCTTCAACCGTGAATCCTAAAACGCTCAACAAACTCCCTTGCAGCCCACCTCCACTCTTGGCGCCTCTTCCCGCGCTCCTCTGGCTTCACTCAGCCTCCCTTGGCCCCAGGAAGTCTCATCTGATCATATGCAAATTTCCCAAGCCAATAATGTATTGAGAAGGATACTTGTCTTCCACTCCATTTCCCCAGCTGTTACCCAACTTGAATTCAGCCCCAGTACTCCCATACCACAAAAGTGAGGGTTCTCCCCTCACCATCTGTTAAACTTGAAAAATACCCTTTTTGCTAAAAACGAAGTATAATATTCCAAGCCCTATTCATAGCAGATGTTTAACAACGATGATTATTTGCATCGTTGTCTATGTTCAATAACAAAAAAAAAAAGAAAAAAAAGAGAGCTTATGATAGGTTGAAGGTGCCCTACAGGCTGTTGGAAGCAGAGATTTAAAGGCAGGCTAAGATCTGAGCAAAGTCTATAGATTAGATAATAGCACTATATTTTTATTTCTAGCTTTGAGTCACTGCTCTGGTCATAAAGGGAAATTCTCTGGTTTTTTAGTCTTTAATTTCTTTTTTTATTTTTTCCTTGACTCCGTGGTAACTCAGTAGAGAGTTGTTCAGTTTCCCAGAGTTTGTAGGCTCTCTGTTGTTTCTGTTGTTGAAATCCAGCTTTAATTCATGGTGGTCTGATAAGATACAGGGGATTATTTCAGTTTTCTTGTATCTGTTGAGACTTGTTGTGACTGAGTATGTGGTCAATTTTAGATTGTCTGGTTTTATGAATAGAAATAAATGAACATCATGTATACAACTTACTCATGAAGAGCTCATATGCATGTACACACACATATATATATATATATATACCTTCATGTAGTTATATCTACATATATATCTATATACATGTGTATATGTATGAGTGCATATGAACATATACATATATATGCCTGTATTAGGGTTCTCTAAAGGAACAGAACTGATAGGATAAATATACATCTATTAAAAGAGGATTTATTAGATTGGCTTCAGGATGCTGTACAAGTAGTCCAGCAGTGACTGTCTCACACTGGAGAGGCCAAGAATCTGGTAGTTGCTCAGTCCATGAGAATGGATGTCTCAGCAGACTCAATATAGTGTTAAAAGTCTGGAAGATTCCTGGTGTCTTAGTTAGGGTTTCAATTGCTGCAATGAGGAATGGGTTTATTTGGCTTACACTTCAGCATTGCTGTTTATCACTGAAGGAAGTCAGGACAGGAACTCAAACAGGGCAGGAGCTGATGCAGAGAAGCCATGAAGTGCATGAAGTGTGGTGCTGCTTATTGGCTTGCTTCCAATGGCTTGCTCAGCCATTTTTTTTAAAGATTTATTTATTTACTTACTTACTTACTTACTTACTTACTTATTTATTTATTTATTTATTTGTTTGTTTGTTTATTATACAGTGTTCTGTCTGCCTGCAGGCCAGAAGAGGGCACCAGATCTCGTAAATGGTTGTAAGCCACCATGTGTTTGCTGGCAATTGAACTCAGGGCCTCTGGAAGAGCAGCCTGTGCTCTTAACTTAACCTCTGAGTCATCTCTCCAGCCCTCAGCCTTCTTTCTTATAGAACCCAGGACCACCAGCCCAGGGATAGGAACACCCACCATGCCCCCCCCCCACTTGATCACTAATTGAGAAAATGCTTTACAGCTGGACCTCATGGAGGCATTTCCTCAACTGAGGTGCCTTCCCTTCTAATGACTCTGGCTTGTGTCAAGTTGACACACATAACCACCAGTACATCTGGAGAGACTGGTCTTTGGCCTCCATTTGAATTCCTAAGAATTTGGTTCTAATATAGGTGAAGGGATGCTACAGCAACAGAGTAGTAGCCAGCAGGCAAAAAGCAGTTTCCTTCTTCCATGACCTTCTTTCTATCGGGATTACTACCAGCAGGTACTGCACAGATTTAGGGTGGATGCTTCATTTAATCTGCTCAAGAAAATCCCTCACACGAGTGCCCAGTAGTTTGTGTTTTAAATTGATTTTAGACAGAAGTTCACAACCAAGGTTACTCATCGCAATGCCAAAGACAAAGCAAATACAGTAGAGAAGATTTAAGGGATCCAGATGAAGAGTGTCGAGAAGTTCCTGCACCGTCCTTGTCGTGGTTCAGGAGACCCGGGAGTGTGGGGAGAGAAGAGCTTGCAAGGGTGAAATCACTGAGATAATCATCAGCTGTGGGGTGGTTTAGCTCTTGTGTCCAGTCTCCCCCCGAGTCCTGAGATGCTGAAGAAAAGCCCCTTTGCAGGGCAGGAGAGATAGCTCAGTGGATAAAGGCAGCTGCTGCAAGCCTGCCGACCCGAGCTTGCTCCTCAGCACCCACACGGGAAGGAGAGAGCCAAGTCCCACAAGTTGCCTTCTCACTTTCGCATGCACACAGTAACATACATGCCAATCCCCTGCATACTCAACATGTATGCATGCACACTAACACATATGATAATATTATTATAGAAAATAACATTTATTATTGGTGAAATGTTTAAGGCCACTCCACGTAGTTAAAAGGGAGGTTTATTTAGTGGTGTAACTTACAAGTGAAGGGATAGGTAGGTTGCAGGGTCTGGGAAAGACACAGCGCAGTCCGGCGGTGTTCTCTGGAAAACTCTGCTTGGTCTACCTCCAGCGTCCAGGGTCCAGGAACCAAGAGAGGTGGTGCATCCGGATCTTGGGTCTTCAGGGTCCTCTCTTGGCCCCGCCTTGTAGGCATGACAGTTACCGAAGCCTCAATGGGAGTTGGAACTTCCAGATCAAAGCTGGAATGGCTACCCACTACAATTTATAATGAAAATTTTAAGATTTTTTAATGTGTATGAGTGTTATTCTAATTCTTTTTTTTTTATTATTTTGTTTTTCGAGATAGGGTTTCTCTGTGGAATAGCCCTGGCTGTCCTGGAACTTGCTTTGTAGACCAGACTGGCCTCGACCTCACAGAGGTCCACCTGCCTCTGCCTCCCAAGTGCTGGGATTAAAGGCACGCACCACCATCCGGCTGCACCACCACCGCCTGGCATGTTATTCTTGCATATATGTGCATGTGCCACGTGTATGCATGGTGCCCATGGAGGCCAGAAGAAGGCATCCCATTGTTCGATTCCCTGGAATTAGAATTACAGGTGTTTATTGGCTACCATGTGGCTATGAACCAAACCCAGGTCCTCTGCAAGAGCAGCCAGTGCTCTTAAGCACCGAGCCGTCTCTCCAGATCCTAATTTTATTTTATTTTTTTTGGTTTTTTTCTAGACAGGGTTTCTCTGTGTACTTTTGGTGCCTGTCCTGGATCTCACTCTGTAGACCAGGCTGGCCTCGAACTCACAGAGATCTGCCTGCCTCTGCCTCCCGAGTGCTAGGATTAAAGGTGTGTGCCACCACCACCCGGCTCAGATCCTATGAGATACCCCTTCCATGTAAGCGTGTCTATTGATGCTATACTTGCTCAGGTCTTGTTTAGGCAGCCATATTGTTTAGGTAGGTATCATTGGCAAAGCTTCCTTGTCATTTCTAAGAGACACAGTCTCACAGCAACCCCACCCCTCACAGTGTGAGGCAGGAGCCCTCTGGACGGCTAGTGTCGGTGTGGTGAGGTCTGGTCTGGTGCAGGAGTAGATGCTCTTGATTAGCTCAGGATTGGACCGTCCAGGCCATGAAGGTCAGTGGCACCCATAGCCCAGGGTACAGTTTCCTTGTAGGGACTCTTCCTTTGTGACTGTTGCTATGGGTGCTGCCAGGGTGGGGTTGGTGTGCCTACCTCCGAGGGCACACCTCTTTGTCTTGCCTTTCCTCTGTATACTACTGTTCTCAGGTGGGACCCACACCCACCCACCGAGGCTGAGGGAGATCTGTGCAGGCTCTGAAGCAGGAGTAACTCCTGAAGGCTCCCCTGCCTGCTCCTCCGTTTCTCTGAAGCTTGCCTTCCACTTCCTGTGTAGTGCTGACCACAGCCATCAAGCATCACGGATAGGAGAAGCAAGCCGCCTCACACTGAGCACAAAAAGCTGCCCTGGGATTTGTGAGAGTAGTAGGAAGCCAGAACAAGAGGAACGCCACCAGAAGGCTGGATACTCCTAACACAGTCACAGAATGACCAATTGTTAAATAGACAGTTTGAAAAGTTTGGGGCTGGGGTTGCTGTGCACAGATTTGATAACCAACACAAATCCTCAGCAGACCCTGACCCTGGGTACATTACTCCCCTAACCCGTCCCTGGACCGTCCCAGTTTCCACTGGGTTCTCTAGGCAGCAGAGAAGATAGACGTGATCTGCCACATATTTTTATTTCTGCCCCTGGCTGTGTCAGGACAAAGGAAGGGCAGGGATAAGACAGTACTTGGGCAAGACTATA